TTTAAAACAATGTATTTTACTCATAATCTTGTTACTTTACTAATACTTTGAAAGGTATTGGAATATCAGTTTCATCAAATTTTCATATTCGTTTGTGCTAGGGTTGTGATAAAACATATTTATTACAGGATATACAAATGTCGAGAAAATGTGAATAAAAAAATTAGGCGTGTAGTTTTACCATGCTCCAAACATGGACGTCTAAATTTCGTTCTTTTTTTAAACTGACTTCCGAAGTCATAAAGGGATGTTGAGACGTAAAGTAACATGATTCCAAATTAAATTTAATGGCTAATTAATAGTACCCTGATTTTGGTGGAGGAATGCATGTAAGTAAAAGAATTAATACCCGAAGCAAGCGATAAAAAATGTCGGCATTAATAGAGGATATTCATAGTGTTTGACTCTTTAGCTCTCTTGTTTGTATGTCCGACTTTTCTGAACCAGAGTCGAAGTAAAACAGATCGGTATCCCAAATTCGTTTTGGCTCAATCTTATATAAGTGCAATGATGTCTAGTTGTATGTTGATATAGCGATGAAACAATAAAGAGTTAATTCCACCCACATAATGAGAAGATTATATAACCACGAAAACCACTATTTTAGGCCAGTTTCCTTCCCGATTAGTTCAACTAAAATTTTAAGATATTGTCAACATTGACATTGAACGTACAATTTTTTTTTATCATAAACATTAAAATCTTACCTTAATCACTGTTAATGTTAAACAAATTAAGACATTATTTGTTAGTGACTTGTCACGAAAATCGTCATGGTGAAACTGGGCACCAAAGACCACATGCACGGTTCTACTTAGTTATAGACAATAAAGTCAACTGTCTGAATCATGGTTTCTCACAAAAGAAAGTTTTTAAATTTTCTTCATTTAAACCTTTTGATTACAAAGACAAAAGGTTTCTTTAAATGTTGCTCTGAAATATGTCATTCTTTTTAAGTGAATAGATTATTGGCGATGACTGATAACTATCAATTTCTCATTTTTGGGGGTAGAATTTCCACGTTTATCGATCATCAAATAAACTAAATGATTATGTCCAGATATATGCAATTTTCCAAAATTAATAATGAATATTGAGCATCAAAGACCTCACATTTACGAGGGTTGTCCCGTAAAATCGTGGACAAGTTGTCTAGTTTGAAAAATAATCATCACTGCGTTCTGAAATTTTCACCACTTTTTAGTAGATAAATTATGAATATACATAGAAAATTTCAAATAGATATATGCATAGGTAAACAAATTGTGGTATTTTATGTTATGTACTGTATCGCCCTACGGCGCATGGATGATAACGTCAAAGTGTCTAAAACGGCGTCAGGTTTCATCTTTGCTAAACTAAAAGTTGGATAAGCCACTCTCAAATTTAGAAATTTTATTGATTTACATATGTGAATTTCTATAACCAGTTAAGAAACCAATGTGGCAAACTCATGCGATCTTCTGAATATTTATTAGCAAGTTACAGACAGTATTCTCACCATCATTCAACTAAAAGAGAATCTCACATCGACAGTCGACAGTGACAGCGTCCTTTGCTATTACAAATGGCAGTCTGTCCATATGTTTTGTACTATCTGGGGACTCGACCCCGAAGACTTCACTAAGAAAACTTTCATTTCATTTATATACTAAAGATCTGGTGATATTTTTCATATTCTGTATTCATTTAAAGTCTCTTAAGGCATCATTACAACATCCTAATCTATCTGAACTGCTCTCCGGTGCGCCGTAACGTCATAAAAAGTCGCCATTTTTCGTGTATTGTGTTTATTACTTTCCCATTTCAAATGCTCGGGAAACTGCCAAAAATTAACCAAATGCCTTGAATTTTTTTAAAAGACGACAGAATTGATTAAGGAATGGAATTAGGATAATTTTCATTCTAATCTTATTTATTGAAAACTTTTATTACGAATTAATTCATATGTCTTCTCTGATATATCCTTGCTATTTTTACCGTGCGCCGTAGGACCATACCTTGTGCACATTCAAGCAGAATAAAATCTTTATTTTTGAATATATTTTATCAAAAACATTATGATTCACTTAAATATGATGAATAAACATTTGCTGAAAATTTCAGATTAGTGCGCCAATTACTTTTCGAGAAAAACGCTTTGTCCACGATTTTATGGGACAACCCTCGTACTTTTATGCCATTTTTCTCCTAAAAATGCTTGTAAATGGACCAGATGTTTGTTTAAAAAAATAAATGAATGACTAGAAAACAAACTTCATATTAGTCCAAGATGGACTTAACATAAAAAGGTCACTGATAATCTTAGTTTATTTGGCATACAAATTAGAGTATCTCTCTGACCTACATTATACTTGCATACCGTAGAAGTCAGCTATTATTTCGATAGAGAATGTGATATTTTTCAGATGTATGTAAATAAAATTAAAAATAAAAGTTATTAGCCCCAAATTTAACTTACATAATTGTAACAATGTTATACAATCACCTACATATATCACCGAGCTAGGATAAGGAAAGCAGCTTATTAAATAGACGTACAGAATATGACATTTATTTTGTTTAGCTTTACGTTTTATGCTGCTAGTACTGGTGACAGTACAAACATGTGAACACTATTAACTTCCTTGACTTACACAGGCTTCCTGGTTGATACATTGATCAAAAATTAGTGACTCTGTATCACAACTGCTCAGAAACTGTACTACAGCATTAAAAATCATGATGCAGACCCGTAGAACACGGGGGACCTGGGGGGACGCGTCAATACCACTTTTTTCTGAGTATGGAAATTTGAATGTTTGTCTCCGCCCCGATCATTTTTTGTTGCGGTAAGGTCAAAGACTGTTGAATCCCAGCATCATGTCTGTCCTTCCATTTGGGACCATCAATGTTAAAATATCCTTCAAATGGTTCATTGACTTTCCTAGTCTTAAGTTTAAGTCACATTATCCAACGATGGGGTATACGATGAGAAACCGATGCGATTTTTGATGAAAATGGCCCACACCACTAGTGATCGGACGGTGACTGAGTCTTTTTTTGCGAATCAGTGGGGTCATCGGTAGGAAATAATTCGTAGTTAAAATTCAGCGATGTCTCCAACGATGCCTTACATCGCTCCTCATCGGCAAACAATCATTAACACATCTTTCAAGGATCGGCCGATGTATGGCCGAGCATCGTCCAATATCCGTTGAATCAGAGGTCATCGGGGGGTTGAGTGGTGTTCAACAGATAACGGCCGATCATCGGTCTTTCCCAAACATTGGCCCGTAGTTGACCGACCACCAATGTATGAGCGATGTAATATACATCGGCCGATTATCCTGGAACATCGTTTTTTGATTAGCAATGCATCGCTTGACCTTTGTAAGTCCGGCCGGCAACCACGCCATTTTCTCATAAAACGCATTGGTTGCCCATCGTATGCACATCGCTGGATAATGTGACTGATACTTTTAGGATTACTAGGCCGATGTGGACCGATGTTGGGGCATCATTAACACCGCGGTTACCGCCGATTACCACCGGTCTACGGCCGGGAAATGTGACCTAGGCATTAATGGTCCTACGGTGAATAAAAATGCTTTCCCGAAACCTCGACATACTAGTTTTGACAAACCTTGCAGATGATGAGATATTTGCAGTTGTCTGTTTTGCACGACAATTTCCTAAATATTCTGTAGGTGTGACCAGTAATTTGTGATGTTGCCGTTAAAACGGTCTGTGACAGAGCTGTGCTTACAAAGATGACAGCATTTTAAAGAATGAAACCTACGGAGATAACAAACCGTATTAAAGATCACAAGTTATAAACCCTCCGTTAGGTAGTGGGCTGTCAAAATTGGTACTTACTGCTTCAATATTCTTCAAGTTCCTCGGGCATAATAGGCAGCCAAAGGAGATTACAGAACGACCCCTGTCTTTCTTGAAATGTAAATATGAAGAATAAATACAATGATGCTTATACATACAGTAGTTATGCTCATACATCTACTGAAACAATACAAATCAGAAGCGGAGCAAACGTGACCTCTTAAAAATCTGACTTAGGATCAGGCGCCATAAAAGAGTAAGCATCCCCTCGAAACCGGTCCAACCGCCTTATGTGGAATAATGAATCGTCAGGATTTTAACAGTATTTTGTTGAGGTTCTTCAAGACGGTATATGGTTAACAAATTGAATGGAATGTTGCTGTTGGCTTTCTCTTTGTAGTATAAAAGGTTTTGTCTGTTCTGTTTGTACGGTGTTGCTTTGTAGCCTATTTTGAATAAATGGGTCTTCGGGAAATTTCTCTTTTAATGGTACAAAGTACAGGATGAACAGATGCGACAAATGATGGTGGCTGAACACCCAGGCACACCCTTGATATCCACCTGTTATATGAGGTTAAGAGATATTACATCCACAATTGATTTATCTGTTTCTTTTTGACGTTTTAGTCATATAAAGTTTATTTTACTATTAGTTGATGACGTTGCTATCCATTAATATTTGTGGGTATTGTATTATTGTAGAATCTTTATTTATGGTAATTATAGTGTTTGATAGATAACATAATCTCATCATTAATTGATACAAAGCCATATCCATTATTGCTGTATTATATATATCATAAACACTATATGTACGACTTTCAAGGAGGGTAGTCTAAAGGCCGATACTTTTGTATTATAATACTTTCTTGTACTCACGCTAATACATATCTTATAAGATTGTAAATAAACTACGTGTTTTCCCCGCCATAATTCTCTTTCTGAATAAAAATGTTGATAGCAGTGTCTATCATCGGACTATGCACTGCTTGATATATTCCACAAGTCCTCCACATAAAACCACGAGTTTTTTGATTCTTTACTTGTAAAGTTTGCCATCTCTTTTTGTAACCTCATTAAATTTCATTGAAATAACAATATACTGTTATGATACACTGCAAATTTTGTATTATAATACAAATCTTATAATACAAATGCCTAACTGTTATGAGTGCCCCTTCTGTTGAGGCCGCTGTTACGATTTTAATACACAGCTCAGAAAATGCACTAACATTACGCAATTGATCAATGAACTTGAGATTCTCAAATAATCAGAAGTGTCGCCATCACAGGACTTATAAATGGAGAAGTGGGGAAGTAACCTCGAATCAGTGGATAAACTGTGTCGAGTATACAACCATGAAGCTAGGTCTAGATAGTGTCAGTGTGTGTATTTAATTCTGTTGAATTCGTGTCCTATGTCACCCCAGTTTTGAACTCTATTAATTTTATTTTACTTCCGTGTTTTCTGTTGACATTTGGTCGTTGTAAAGCGTCTAGTGCAACCACGATGATGAGAACGAGATATAAAGATTCATTCTGGGTGAGTCAAATTTAATATTGTGTTGTTAATATTTTATTTGAAGAAATAAAAAATAACACTCATCAAGGCTTTGTTCAAGCACTTAGAATTTTCTTTTGATATATTTTCTGCAAATTAAACTAAAAGTAAATAATGAAAATTTATAAACAAGTGAATAAACACTATGTAATAAGCATTTTGTTACGTGTGTATTCGATGCGTATAACTTTTCTCAAACAAGAAAATTGTTGTCTTCTGTTTTTATGTAACCTCCATTTAAAGGTACATATCTTAGCACGAAAAAATGCAAGATAAAATCACATCTAAATAAGAATGTGGGGTAAATTAAATGACATATTATTATAAATAAAGAAACAGAAAGTAACTGATTGTATAACAAGAACTTTATTGCAAAAAGGAACATTATTAAGCTACAAACTAACATAGGCTACAAACTGACATAGGACAACTTATATATAGTAATTAATTCTCACTGAACAGGACACAGACATTAACAGCACCAGTGGGTACGATGGACTAAAGAATCGAATGAAGGATGGGAAAAAACTCTCCAGCGAAGTGGAAACCTATTTTAAACAGAGGTAGGAAGCTATCAGATGACAGGGTATTTGTTCTCGGGTTACTTCTGGGACGGGATAGCTCAGTGTAACACCGTAGCCCGTCAGCGATCTGTGTGTCTTTTAGAATAGGGGATATGATCATAAGATTATACTTTCAAGACTCGTTTTAAAACCCTAGTCATCCTCATAAAATTAACATGCACGACTGAATACAAACAAATTTGACATTTAAATATATGTAGAAATATAAATATCAACTTTCATACCAACAGATTATTCTTGGAAAAGTGAACTAAGATTGTTGGAAAGAATAAAATATGCGTTAATACTCAAATAAGTGTATCATGTGAGAATTATGTACGGCTTACCATATCTTGCTAATGTGTATCTTTTTTCCTTTCCTTATTTTTATGATAACATATAAAGTTAATTTATACATCAAGTTACATGTATATAATTTTTTAAAATAAACTTTATGCCCAGAATATTATACATGCATCTTATCTTTGTAAGATATTCTTACAGAAACAGTCTAATCGCCCATTTTTATGAATCGTGCACCCCTATATGTGATAATCTACATGTATGACTGAATGCTTTAATTAAATTAATTATTATTTCTTTATTTCTTTATTTGGAAATATACACTCATTTATGAAATAGTCTTTAAACAAGAATTCTATTGACTGACCGTGTACCTTAAGCAAGATAATATTCGAAAGGAATGCTTTTCAGCACAATGACTGTTTTTCTTTGACAAAACACTAAAAGGTCTATTTTATTTCATTATATATGTATCAATTACATAATTTTCTCCAGAGCCAAGATCGAGAAAGATTACTCCAAAGACTTACAGAAGCTTGTAGACAGTTGCAAACTGAAGGTTGAACTACATGAAGGGTAAGCAAACTGGACTTGTAAAAATGGGAGAAAAAAGTTCCGTGTGAAGTGGAGAAAAGTTTTAAAAACGGCAAAGAACAAGAATTTTTGATGTTTCTGAATCACAAAGATGAAAATGGTAACGTGGATGATCAGTATTCCATTTTCAGTGTATAGTGTATAATTTTTATCATTGAAGGTAAATAATTAATTACTTTCAAAAATTGAGTGTTTTACAATCTAAAGTAAGAAAAGTCCGTTTGAATGTACAAGTACCACTTAACAGGAATCTGTCGATCATAAAATCTGCATTGTTCAGGGGTATCCCTCTTACCATCAATAAACGTATTATTATTTAAATGTTGCTTTTATTATATTGTAAAATAAAGGATACAGATGGTTTCCTAATTTAATTTTAATGCCTGTTACTCTTCAAGTACACTGGAACAAGCGTGGAATAAAGTGAAGATAGAAACCTTACAGATGGCTCAAATTCACGAGACTGCCGGGTTAGACTTTGAAAAACTGGCTCAAGAAATGTCCTCATTCATGGAGGAGCAAAAACGACAAGTTAAAGCTGTGAGTTACAAAATAAGCTCAGTAAACCTTTTTCTATTATTGTCCTCCCAGATCGTTATAATTATTGACTTTCTTTATGTAGGCAGAAGACACTGTTCAAAAAGCACATAACAGTCTTAAGTCAACATACAGTAAACTTACAAGTGTAAGTATAGTCAGTAATTAAATAACTTTGTGGGATTAGATTTGAATTAAGTATACAATGTATATGTATATTTTCCCGTTATTTTCGGATCATGACAAGGAGCACACGGCGGGTGTGACCGGTCGGCAGGGGATGCTCACTCCTCAATGGCACTTGCTCCAACCTTTGATGTTTCGGAGGTCCGTGTTTGCACTGCTCCTATTTTGTATTGCTTTATGGACTTTTGATCTTGAATACTGTTCGTTATCTCCATATGTTTTATGGTATATTCATCAAACAATACAAGAGAATGCATAATAATCAAGTTAGCATTTTATTGTACCTGGTGGCTAAATGCCAAACAAATTTCAGATATTAATATTTTAATGAAAATTTCATATCATTGTGTAATATTTTTGCTGAAGATTTCTGTTTAGCAGACAGAAAAAAAAACTTTAACACAATTTAATGCAAAACTTGTCTCATTTATGTAGCAAGAGAAAACATTCCATATAAAAGGTGAAGATTATGATAAATTACAAAATTCAGTCAAATATTCTGAGAGAGGGCAAGCAACACCAAAGGAACTGGAAAAGGTCAGATAATCAAGGATAAACCAGTTAACAAACTAGGAAGTTAACTGTTACATTTGATAAATGAAGATAATTAGAAGACGTGATCATTTTTTTCCTTTTGTTGAGGAAGGAAACGAGATAACTTGTTTATGTGTTTGCACTTGTACTTAAAACTATTCCTGGAAATGCATTTGACAGACTGATATTAAAATGTCATTTCAAACTTTCTTATTAACAGCTTCGGAATAAAGAATCAAAAGCCAAAGAGGAATTAGACAAGAATGGTAGGAAATAGTAATAATCCAATTGATTTAACATTAGAAGACTCTACGAACCCCTAGCATAGCTACTAGTATTAGTAACATTAGTCTTATTCTAAAGCATTAGTTAATTCATTTTCTCCTTCAGAATCGTCATACAAAAGTCTTATAGAAGAAGTAACCAAATGTAAAGCTATATTTGAGAAAGAGATGACAAAAATGTGTGAGGTAGGCAATGGTCATCAAATTCAATCCACTTTAACATTCTAATGAAAACATTCAAATTGTTCATTGATTAATAATTTCAGCTTTTCCAAGAACTTGATGAAAAACGAATCGAACACACTAGAGAGAATTTATGGAAATGCACGAATGTTGATTCCCGTACCTGTGTTGAGCATGACGAGGTTCGGTGTATTTGTACTTGATTATTAAATTATGTTTATGGTTCGGCCTGCTTTAACCGAAACTAATTGTACTATTTTAATACCTAAAAATCGATTGTTATGAAAAGTCGAAACAGATGAAAGAATATTTTCAAAATGAAATCAAAACATTGGCGTCGGAAGCAAATTGAAAGTGGGGGTGCTAAGTGTAAAAAAAAAAAATTTTTGTACAAGCAAATCCATTTCCCAAACACGAAAATCCTATTTCGGGGGGGGGGGGGGGGGGGGGGGGGTGTTAGGTTCGAACTTCAGTACCAAAATTTTATTCCAGTACCAAAATTTTATTCCAAAGACCACCACTTTCCCCATTTTTAACCTATACTAAGACATATCTGTGGAAAGTGGGGGGGGGGGGGGGGGGCTAAACCTACGAAGATATGTTCTATGCTTATACTAAGTATATATTCCCGGTTCCGACGCCTATGCAAAATATTTGTTTTACGTGTCATTTAACAACGTGAAAGAGATTAAAAGTACAATTAATGAGAGAACGATAGAGTTGTAGATGTATTTTTCAATACTAAAAGAATGTCTAAGTTTATCTTGCATCTTTCAGTGTGCTGAGAAAATGCGACAAATGATAGAACCTTGTGATATTGACAAAGATATACAATTGTTTATAAAGAACTACAGGACAGGCTCAGAAAAGCCACGTATGTATTATGTGTAGACACATTGTACACTTATTCTTCCGTAAAACAACAATTACAATATCATCTATAACATTATAAGATGACATTGGTGTACCTACTCATAGCACAGACATATGTCTTTCAACGCTTTATACGACTTTATCAAAGACGAGGCTAAGATAAGGTCTTCCAACAATATTTCCAAATTATGATGGCCCTTTGTGTGAAACATATGGAGTAAACGAACAGTATTCAAGATTAAAAGTCCATAAAACAATACATAATAGGACCAGAGCAAACATGGACATCTAAACATTAGAGGTGGGATCACGTGCCATGGAGGAGTGAGCATTCCCTGCCGACCGGTCACGCCCGCCGTGTGCTCCTTGTCATAATCGGGAAATGAACGGAAAAATCCGTCATCAAGTCAGTGTATAAACAATGAACTAACAATTAGTATGAAAAACGTCAGTCAGCATTTGACTCAATGATAAAATGTATTTGCTGACAAGGTCATTGTATCGACCACAGAACTTACAAAATGATGACTTTAAACGAGACTGATGATAACTTGTTTGCCAAAAATTTACCTCGTCTTAGAAATTGTTCATACGTAGAGAATGCTCTTGCGTATCGAGTCAACCGAGATATATAAACTCTGTATGCAGGTGATGAAGAAATATTGCTGCATAAGTAAGGGAAGTTGACGATAGGAAAGTTAAGTCATCACTATTATCATAGACCTTAGTTGCTAGATTACCATGAACGTCTTTTTCAAGTAAAATACCTGTATCAAGTATGAAACAGATGTGTCAGAATCGGTGGTATCTACTATCTCAAGCTTACCAGGATATTTCGTATCCACATAAGAATGGAAATTAATATTGTTTCTTTATAAAGTCACCGCAAAATTTATTAGCTTTTACATCGTTAACTTTCTGTATCAGTCCCCTACCGCTGAAACCAACAGGAACTAGATGTATCATTGCATTCATCTATCTGTCCTTCTGGTATTCTTCTCACTTGGTTTTTGTACATCTTTTAAATGCTTAGATAGATATAGATATTAAACTGTTATTTTGGTTTCCGAGTGATACTAGTTACAAATAAAGTATGCATATTGTTTTCCTTCTTTAACTTCTGACAGAATGACGACATTTTTAAATCTCAATAAGAACATTTTTTTCATTCGCTACAACACTGGTATTAATGTGATTTGGGTTATTTAAGTACCTCGACATTTGTTAATTCTGTAGCTATCGTGCAATTATCTTGCTACTTACATATTAAATTTATCTATTTCTCGTTATTTTAAAAAACGATGTGGTTTGATCCATTTTTTGCAGCTGATGTAACGTTTAAATCTGGTCGTGGTCAACCTCTTAAAATTCAAGTGGACAGTGGTGACCATTTATATTCAGAGGTCAAACTTACGTATTAGGTAAGTATTTTCAATTTGTTACTCTACACAGTTGGTATCAAACACAAACATATATAGAAACAACTGAGAACTTGTTTATCAAATCAGTCCCTATAACAATATGGGTCAGATAAATTTTGACCCATTTGAAAATTATTTCTTTGATCATGCATATTTTCTTTATGTTCATTCAGGTTTATAATTGATATTATTTTATCATCTTACAAATTTTCAATCTAATATGCAGAAATTTACCAAGCTCATCACTGACCGTCATCTAGATCTCTTGCTGAAATTATGAACTCTACAGCCATGAAGCTACGGTTATTACCAGATCACTGTTATTTCTTGTTAGAATTATTTGCATTGAAAGTTGTTTTTATACAATCAAAGAAAATTTTGATATACCGGTATTCAATTTTCTTAAATGTCTTGACCCTTGTTTGCCTGTACAATCAATCGCCACTCCTATTTTTTTTTTTGGAAATCCAAACTCATACATACAAGATATCACTTTTTATGATATTAATAATTGTTTGTTGATTACAAATGCATCAAGTATTTATGTTATAAAATAAAATAGACATTTTTGTGCCATGTTATATTTTCATGTGGTTGTTTCTTATCTTTTATGAAATGAATAAAATGTGCATTGCCAAATCTGTTTTCTTTATTCTCTTCAATATTGTTACAATAGTTTAACTTTGGGATTTGAAATCCATGTGACAGGAAATTGGAAATCAAGTAAGTAATTGATGACATTATTTATGTTAAGTATCCAGCTGTTGTAATTTCATGTACGTAATAAAGCGTGTTTATAGAATTATCAGGTTTTGTTCATCAGATCGATGTAAGCACCTATTTAATGAATTTCCTGACACTGATGATAAAATTTTCCGGTACTTGACAATATAAATGCCCTTGTAATATCCAAAAAATTACGTAAAATATCAGAAAGGTAGTTATGTATTTGTACACAATTTACTCCTCAAGTGAGATATCTAAATAGAGCTATGCATACCATAATTTAAATCGTCGGACTCCTTTCATACAAATCAAAAGGCATTTTTTTTTCCAACTAAATTTGACTACGGATATTCCATTGACTCGATCAATACATACGGCTCGTGTAACCGGTCGACAGGGGATGCTTACTCCTCCAGGACACCTGATCCCACTCCTGGGAATTTCCAGGGACCCGTGTCTACGCCCTTTTCCGATTTGTATTCTTTGAAGTTTTTATAAAATCGATCACTGCTTGACATCTCCTTTTTTTTATTTAAATAACATATCCATCAACTTCTTGGAGATTTTTAAAAATAAGCGAAAAATATATTATCGCGTATTTCGCAAGAAGCACTATTATCGAAATAAAATTCCTAGTTTTTATTAATTTGTTGCTATAATACATGAAATATTGAGACTACGAACAGTAATCGAACTGTGAGGTCCATTAAAACAACTCAAATAGGGAGCAGAGGAAACACTAACCATTAAAGTCATCAGGAATGGGATCAGTTGCCATGGCGGAGTGTGCATCCTCTTTCGACCTGAGCAATCCCTTAAACGAGGTAAGTTATTGATAAACAAGTTGATGAACAAGAATATCAACAATCTCTTTTTAAGTCATCATTTCGTAAGTTCCATGGTACAATGACCTTATCAGAAAATACAATATATCATTAAGTCAAATGCTGACTGACGTTTTTCATACTAATTGTAAGGCCATTATGTACATGTACACACTGAATTGATGACGGATTTTCTCGTTATTTCCCGATCATGACAAGAATTACGCAGAGGGTGTGAATGGTCGGCTCACTTTTCCATGGCACCTGATCCCACCTCTGATATTTTAGAAGTCCGTGTTTGCCCTGCATGATCTGCAAGATTTGCATTGCTTAATTGACTTTTGAGCTTGAATATTGTTAGTTGTCTCCATATATTTCATCGACCATAAAACTTGTAAAATGATGACTTTGAACAAGACTGTTTATATCCTTGTTCTTTTCAACTGTTTGTCAATATTTTTCGTCGTTTTAAAAATTGTTTCTTCCTTATTTGATGTTTTTAAGGAGTGTAAAGACCTGATATTTGGGTATTGTCCTGATTGACTTTTTGACCTTTTCCTCTTAATTTACCAACGTTTTCGTATTGATGCAAAATTAATTTAATAAAATTTCATTTATCTCTTTTAAATATCAATCCTCGGTACAAATAAAGGTTTGCAGTTTGAAAAAACAAAGTTTCTAGAGAAAACCTCGTTCTCAGAACTGTGACATTACATTTTATCATTTTGTACACATTTTTCTCGGCAACAGTACGCACATACATATGCACATACTTATCGCTAACTGTAAAGTGTTTTCGGTAATGTGGACAATCTATAGTTTTCATATTTTTTCTTTCGTTTTACATGATAGCCATATCGTGAAAAACGGGGAAAACGATCAGTAATCAAGTGCCCATGTTTTGCTATGGGAAACCCAAAATGTGTGTCGGATCAAAAAGTAAAACAGGGGGTCATAATGGCATTATGTAATAAAGATTCTCTGAAAGTCTCGTCAAATTTCATTCAGTGATATGAGGAGTTGCGGATAAGTGATTGGTACCCCAAAGCGTAACAGACGGACGGATAGACAGACGGATGTACAGACAGAAGAATGGACACACATCCCGATTACTACCCTTCTGCTTTTCAAGCGGGGAATTTAATCTGATGCAGAGCAAATGCACACCTCTAAAACATCAGGGGACCGTTTTACATAAGAACTTACAATTAAGACCAAACTTTCATTCGGCATATAACGTTCTAATTAACATTATTTTAAAAATGGTTTTAAGGACAGATGATGCAAACCAAAAAATGGATGCCTGGATTGGTATACATTCATTTGGCCGAATTTCATTGAAAATGATGCAAATAATAAATTTTTAAAATATCAAGAAATTGTAAACCTTCTATGATGTTCAAAATTCTGCCTCTCTGAAACCATCCTTATTAATCTATACAAATATGTTTCACTTCAAATCCCATTTTAGTAAATATTTGAATAGAAAAAAAAAACTACGCGGTGAAACATATTCATCTTACTTATTAAAACGTGACCTAAGATGTTATTTTCAATTTTTTTGACAAAAGTTTGTTTGTATCATCTGTCCTTAATCTTTTTAAAAGCATTGTAGTAAGATATTTTATACTAGCAATTTTAAACAGAATCATTGATTTCGTAATATTTACAATTAACTATTTTTTTTTATCTTAGTCGTAAGTTAGTTTGCAAAAACGAGCCCCAGAAGTGGGATCAGATACTATGGATAAGTAAGCATCCCCTATTATCTAGTCAAATCCGCCATGCTCTCCTTGTCATGATCAGAATATTGGATAAAATTTCAAGACAATTCTTAATTAAAGATTGTATTTGCTGACAAAGTTATTGTATTGACCAAAGAATTTCCAAAATGATGACTTTAAACAAGATTGTCGCCATTCTCGTTTCAAAAGCCTGTTTGGCAATGTATAAAGCTTGCGTGTTTTAGATGTCCATACTTAGAGCATGGAATATGACCATACATGTTTTTGTTCCTTTAGATGTTTAGTAATGTTTCGAACTTCCTCATATGAGCAAATGCAAAAGTTTTTCACCCCACTCCCCCCCTCCTCTAGAAAAGCGGGAGGATACTTAATGATCACGATGTACATCCGTCTGTCCGTTACGCCAAAGAGTACCCATCTCTTATCCACTACTCCTCTATTACCACAGAATGAAATTTAATGAGAATTTCACAGAATCTTTGTTACATAATGACATCGAGCACCTCCATTTTACTTTTTGATCAGACACATATGTTGGGTCATGGACATGTCCACTTTTTCTATAATATGAAGGGTATCCATCTCTTATTTGCAACTACTCCTATACCACTGAATAAAATTTAATGATACTTTCAAAAATGCTTTATTACATAATGCCATTGTGCACCTCCTATTTTACTTTTTGATCTGACACATATTTTGGATTTCCCAGAGCAAAACATGGACTTTGCCATAATAACCATATGGGAAGCAGGGGTATCATTCAGTGAGCTCATTGCTCATACATGTAGTACCTCTAGTTTACCTTAATACTTTGGTTCCTGAACTTTTCTTATATTTTATGCAGTATAATAATCATACCATCTTTTGCAATATAATTGAAGTTGTCCTTTGATATGCAACAAGGTCTCTGTTCCCATTAATGAAGGCAATAAGAACTTTATACCCCCCATTTGAAAAGCGGGAGGGTATAAAGTATTCAGGATATCCGTCCGTTCTTCCGTCTCTTACACTTTGGGGTACCCATCTCTTAGACGCAACTCCTCTCATACCAATGAATGAAATTTGATGAGACTTTGAATCTTTATTACATATTGCCATTGTGCACCTTCTACAGTGTATTTTACTTTTTGATCTGACACATATTTAGGGTTTCCCCTATCAAAACAAGGACACTGCCATTATATTCATATGGAAGGCAGGGGTGGGTGGGTGAGGGTATCATTTAGTGAGCTCATTGCCCACAGTACCTCTAGTTTAAACTGAAAATGTATTGATGATGAAACAAGAATATCAACTTTCTGGTTTAAAGTCAACATTTTGGAAATTCTGTGGTCAATACAATAACTGTTGGCAAGTACAATTTATCTTTTACAAAACAACTTATGATTAAGACCAAAACTTTAAGTTAATTGAAATTTTTTTCAAAATTAATGATTCTGTTTAAAATTGTTTTACCAGTAGAACATTTCTATTTTTTTTAATTAAAATCTTATTCTAGGATCACTGAATTATTTCATGTTTAAATTTCTTCCATTGCACACAAGGATAAGCAAAGTTTATCATCAACAATATGCCCAGTCTTCCGCATGGATTTAACCTGTATGTGATTTATAGCTATTTCACTTAACAGGTTAAACCTCTGTATGATAAATAGGCCTAGCACTTCTCTTCATAGGTTTAGTTCTATATGATAGATAAGGATTTCACTTGGTAGGTTTATGCATGTCATTTAGAGCACACTTTCACTTGATAGGTTTAGCCAGTAAATGATATACAGCTATTTCACTAGATAGGTTTTAACCTGTCATATATATCACCCTTTCACTTGATAGGTTTGTCTTGTATATGATACAGCTATTTCACTTCCAATGTGACCCTTTGATTTGATAGGTTTAACTTGTATATGATGTACAGCTATTTCACTCCCTTTGTGACCCTTTCACTTGACAGGCTTCACCTGTATGTGATATTGAGCTAGGTCACTTTCAGAAATCTCTGTGGGGGCTCCACTTACTGGATCCCTGCCCTCCGCAGTTTTAGGGAAAGCGATGACATCACGGATACTGTTAGTACCACAGATAATGGCCAACATTCTCTCTAACCCTATAATTATAAGAAATCTCTTGAAAAACTTTTAGTGATTGAGGTCTTAAAATTATAATAAGTTTAATTTCACTTTTATCTAACTATAATTAAATTTACATGCATTACTAAATGACTTTGTCCGTTAACGATTATACAAAGGCATACTTCAAGTTCTTAAGTAACACATTTGGATATATGTATATGGAACACTAGAATTCATTATGCCTCTTTACCTAAAGCTATACCACCATGTGGGGGACATCCAAGACTAAGGGCCTCAATAAGATGTCGTAACTGGCTAATGTCCTCCTACAAAAGGAAACCATTTTTTCTTTAGTACGGTACTCCTAAACTAATCATCAATTGTACATTTTGAATTTACTGTATAGTAACAATCCCTTGTCAAGATCCAGCTTTACTTCCTTACCTTTAGGATGTGCTCTATGACATATCTCTGGGTGTCTGAGTCATGTATTCGAATGGACCCTCCCCCTATTTCTGCTCCATTCAGTACTAGGTCATAATGCTGGCTTCTTACCTATCAAATCAAGTTTCTCAACATTTGTACAAGAATTTAAATTTCAAAGAAAAAGAACTAAACATGTGTATCAGTTTTTGTGATTGTTTGATTTTTTCCTTACTTTTAAAGGGTCTGTTTTAAGGTAAGGTTCATCATCTGGATGTGGTGCAGTGAAAGGGTGATGGGCAGGATCTAGTCCAACTATATAAAAATAGATAATATGGATAAACAATATTGTCCTCTTATTAGACAGTGAAACCATTTAATAATTGACTAGAAAATACACATTTCTGACAATACAAAAATCAAGAAATTTTTGGACTAATAAACAGGAAACTGGACTTGAAGACTTGTTTCAGAGTCTTGGTTCACTTGACACTAAATTATTTTAGGAAACAGAATCACACAGAATGTTGGGTGTTCTTTTCACATGTATACTATACCTCCAGATTCTGCAGGTAAAAACAGCGGGAAGTCCACAACCCATAAAAAGTTGTACTGGTTTCGAGGAAATAATGCCACTCCTAAAATTACAGGCAGTTGTCAATAGAGAACTCTAAATCACACAGAGGATTCATCATTTTAAGAATTTGTTTTGCATGATATTTATCCTAAGATACATTTGTGTTTATCCTCACTATGATCATTCAAATGTATTACTTCCTGTTAATATCAACAAGAACCTTTTACATTGAAAATTTGATTGTTCCATGAAATTTTCCAGTAAATGGCTTTATTGTATAATAATTTCTGAGGAAAGAGATAGTAAACTGAGGTAAAACTGTACCTTTTTCCTGTAAAAGAGCTGCTGCTTTTGTTCGTATTTTACCACACATTTCATACTGTAACAGAAAATTAAAAAGAATTCTCTATAAAATTTTATTGTATCGATACATGAAGTAAAATTGTATCAATGTTTATATCACATCTATGCATTTTACTAATCCTTATTTTGAAACTTACAGGGTCGTAACCTTCTCCACAAACTAACACAATCAGGTCGCCTTCTTGGACATTTAATTTGGATGACAGCCTCTGGACTGTTTCGGCTTTTAAGCGATTTGTGTTAGCCTTAAAATCACCTGCCTTTCCAATCCTGATAGATATGAATTTCTACAAAATATTACACACACAAATTTGTGAATAAAATAAGGCAAAATCAATCCCCGCCAACTGACATCAAACAAAAATACAGCCGCACAACATTTACACACATATTAGGCCTCCTTAGCATCAAACACAAAGCTCCTGACCTACATGTATTACTTGGTGAAATTTACATTCTGGTAGAATGATAAAGAAATCAAATGAACTAACTTTCAAAGAGTTATCACAGAGAAAGTAAATAGAAATGGAAACATATGTATATACTGAAAATTGTCAAATTGTACATGAAAAAAAATCTCAAACCTGTTCTTTCTGCAGGTTTTCACTCTGTTTTCTTGAAAACATCTGTAAGAAAAATATAGAATGTTCAAGCAAACAAAAAAAAAAAAACTTGTGTCCATGGTAAAATCGTATCATACAAAAAGCAAGCCTATTCTTTACTCACAGATCCTTGTGGGATAACAAGAGCCACACTATGGGCTCCTGCCAGCTTCATGCTCTCTTCTATCTTTGTGATTCCACAATCCAACATTAAATCATCTACCAAACGGAGCTGAAAATAAAATTATTAACACAGGTGTTTATTGCTTAGAGCGAAGTTTAGGGCATTCTCGTGTGCTTTATGTAGCTGTCTTAAATTTTATATATTCTTACATTCCCTTGAGGATAAATTTATACATTTTTTTCTTCCACATATATTAAAACTACATTGCATTGTGATATACAGGTGTATTATAATTAAAACTGGTTGTAAGAGACCTAAATGCATTGTGAAAATAATGTTTACAGGCAGAACAAAACAGTAATATTAAATATTAGACATTTTTTTCCTTGTTGTTCTTGACTACCCAAACAATGCTGGGACATTCTTGGTAAAGAATGTAAATAACCATTTATAATTAATGTCAACCAATATCATTAAATATTCATACCTTCATCTCAAACCTTGTGTCTGGCTTATCTGAGCCATATTGTACCATTGCTTCATGGTACGTCATGGTAGGAAATGGTACTGTTAGCCGCTCATCAACATTTGGCCAACAGTACTGTAACAGACTCTCAATCAGATTTCTAACATCTTCTTGTGTTGTAAACGACAGCTCTAAATCAACCTTCAAAGTCAAGAAATAGCCAATGAAATTTAGGTGCAGTATTTTACATCTTCTATTATACATAAACCAGTATCATCATAGGTTGTCTATCTAACTATATGTACATGTACTACGTGTATTAACCAGAGTAAATTCCGGTTGTCTATCTACATGTACCTACAAGAACATGTACTACCTAACCAATTTTAGTTCTGCTTGTCTTTTTACCTGAATGTACAAGTACAGTCAAAACTGCCATAGCGACTCACTGTATTAAGCGACTCACTGTCACATGTGACCGTATATATATTCATGTATTAAACGACCACCTGTCTATATATGATTTTTCTAACCAATTTTAGTAATTTCAAGCAATTTTACCTGAATTTAACGACTACATAATTTCCGATTCTTACTTTCGATTTTTGTCGAGCATGTTTCGTTTTTGGTTCAAAATAACTACAGACACGCTTTTTATTTCATTTAATAATTATATAATGCGAGTTTTACGAATAAAACAACATTTTAAAATGAATATTTTTACTTACGCTTTGATATTTATTGAATAAACATTAAAATCTAAAACATAAACATCACGTTTTTCTGTCCAGTGATCGTCCATTTTGAAAATAGACGGCCAACAGTCATTTCATGCTATAAGGATAAATTGATATTCAGCTATAAAACCTGCATGTTTAACTTTAATTAACAAGTAACTAAATCATAGATGTTTATTTAAGTGCATTGTGTCAACAATGGGTATGTAAACACACGCTAGCTAGCACCCACACCATGTGATAATTGAAGTGATTTAAATACCTGGTCACAAACAGGCAATTAGACACGGTAGTTCAGTAATGAAAAGAAAAATTAATTAGGTTTAATAAATATTTCAGTCATAAATATAATTTAATTTGATACCAAGTGCATAACAAAACTCATGATACAGTTTTATTCTTAGTAATATGCAAAATAGACGAAGTTATATTTAGGCTATCATGTAAAAAAAAAACCCAACCTATTATTATTTGCATTTTTTTTTATACTGTATGAAAAAATATTAATATTTTCAGATGTTCACAATATTTCCCAATATTCAAATGACTCGTGCGGATCAAGAAATTTTTATTTCTGAACGGGACAATTCTAAAAGCATTTTAGAGTTAAGAGTACTAGTTGCCTATTAAAGAGTTGGAAAAAACATAAGGTGTTATGAAATACATTCAACATACACATGATATTTTCAGCATTGTATATTTGAACACTGCGGAAAATAAGCAACCTGTATTGAGACCACCTGTCATATACCTTTTTTCATGTAAGGTCTCTTAATACAGGTTTGACTGTACCTGTACTTACCTGAGTAAATTCTGGTTGTCTGTCAGGCTTACTGCCTTCATCTCTATAACACTTTGCAATTTGAAAATACCTATCCATACCTCCCACCATTAACATTTGTTTAAACTGAAAAAGATGAATAAGAATTTGACTAATAATTGTATGATTGACAAAGATTAGGATATCTTATTATAAACATCAAAGATAATATTTCAAAAAATTTATATTTTAATAGTAAAACTACATATATCGTATACTGTTTAATCAATCACCTGTTGTGGGCTCTGTGGCAGAGAATAAAACTTTCCAGGGTGATTACTGGGAACTAGAAACTCTTTGGCACCCTAGAATACACACATGCAAACACAAAGCTTAAAAAATATACAGTAACAATTTTTTTTGGAATTGAAAGTGAATCACAATAATAATATAGATACATTTTATTCTACACTTTCCAGTACATGTATAATTCATTGCAATGAAACTCAATAAAGCACAGCATTTAATAAACAAACATCTTCCCATAGGAAAAAATTTTAATCATGAAACAGCTTTTTATATTTTATGTTTAAAATAAATATCTGAACAATACCATACCCCTGGTGTTCTCCTAAAGAGGGTTGGTGTATCCACATCCACAAAACCTGAAAGAATAAAATTAAGACAAAATTGTCACCTGATCAGCAATTCCACTTGTCTAAGGCTTTGTTTTAATTATCAACCACATAATAATTTGTGTGCTGAGAGCTCACAATTTAAAATTAATGTATTCTACAAACCATGGCCATACAAGAACTCTCGTATCTTCATGGTCATGTATGATCTGAGACGTAGATTTGTCTGCAGCTGCTCACTCCTCAGATCCAGATATCGGTACTTCATCCTCTGGGCCTCATTTGTTTCTGTTGCCTTATAAAATATCAACACATTTACTGGTAACGGCTTCCCTTTACTCTTTCATCAACATTTTCAAAACCCCTTATTTGAAAATATTTGCATTAAGTTGAAGTAAAGAGTAATAACTCCTGACCATATCTACTTACTCTGATATTTAGATTTATAGGAAGTTCCTTCTGACACATGTTGAGGACTTTTATACTGCTTGCTAGAATTTCAATTTCTCCTGTTTCCATTGCCTAAAATAACAAAATCAACATTAACATATCTTATACATGTATCAATAAAATTAGGGAATAAATAATTCATCAAATTCAAATTCTAAAGGTTTCAATTAAAATTTCCCACAGATAATTTTAGCCATTCCTCACACACTAACCTGGTTCTCTTCCCCTTCTTTTCTGGCCTGGACTGTCCCAGTGACCTCCACAACAGATTCATATGGCAGATCCTTCAAAATACTGACCTAAAAAAAATATCCATAGAGTATATATGTATCATATAAAATGATTTTGATGGGCTTGCACTTGTCATTTTCAGTGTTTTCATAACGCATAATGACTGACTTTTATGTTCTTGAAACTTATTTTGGTATTGAAAGCCTTCTCTATCAAACACTTTACAAAATTTAAAGTGCAGAATATTACCATACTATCTGGAAGGAAGACCTGCACTAGCCCTGACCAATCTCGAAGCACGAAGAAAATCAGTCTCTTGTACTGTACCCATCCACAGACTTTGACCTCCTCCCCAATGTGTGAGCGACGGAACTCACCACAACTGTGAGTACGCTGACTGAAGGTATTAATACCTACAAAACACAGGGCACTGGTTATTCAGATAAATTACACAAGAATGTTATTCGTGGGCCTGAAAATTGAGACCATTGGCATAGAAAACTTCACCTATTGAGTATTGATACTGCCATTCAGTCCAACACGCTTATGGCAAATATCAATTACAAGAGTATTTGATAGAAGTCTAAGGAAATTTTTGAAATCGAGCTTTTGTGCAGTTGAGGTAAGAATTTGCAGAAATTAAACCAAAACCAAGCACAACTTTTTTAGCAGGCTAAATATAAATTTAAGTTTTCCTTGGGGTGGCAATGTAAATCTTTGGTTGTCCATCCCAGCTGCTTCAGATCTGCAGCTAGCCTCATGAGCTAAAGTGTTGAACAGTGATTTTCTACCTAGATACACCATGTACACAGGGGCATGCTCCCAGCATGTAAAAAAAATGTTTATTAAAAAAAACGTACAAATATCATATCAACTAGTTAATTTATGCCATCAATATTTCATTACTTAAGTAGTTCGTATATGTTCTTTTATTATTCTCTTCTTAACACGACGGAAACAATGCCTGAACATTAGCCTGACACTTTTTAATGGAAAAAAATTCCTTTACTCGCCTCGAATTTGCAGGTCACTTATTATATTCGATAAGAACAACGGCTCACTGTCCTTTTTGTGAATAGCTGAGGCACCCCAACACTGTATTAACCTAGCTGGTTGTCTTCTCCAGCACAGCTTCTGTAAATATCTATAAAGACAACGGTGTGACATAGCTGCTGCATGCAGTCTGCTACACAAGAGGCAATTCGAGCTGAATCCGATATGTCCAATATTTTCATTGAAACAGTAACATTTTGTTATGGTTGTCACATTTGAAATTAAAAAAGAAGTAATAAATCATCACTTTTTATTTCGAAAAAAAAAATTAATTTCATCAATATGATGTTAAAAAAAAAAAAAAAAATTAAACTTATCTTTCCGGAATTGATTTCGTCAGAAATATTTCTGCATTCACTTCATCTGTTTAAGTTCCTATTTTGAGTTGCAGGATCATGCTGATAATTTTTTCATGAAAAATGAATATAACTCGCCTACATTAAAACTTTTTACTGCTTTACTAATTTATCCATGCTTTTGAACTGAATTTCAAACATGCATAATTAAATTATGGCTCCATCTTACTGACATTCTTCTGATCTATGAGGTACAGAGGTAAGTCATCATCACTTATTGCATCAGGTCAGATAGTATGTAGAGAATTAGAGGTAGAGTTTTCTTTGTCCTTTCTCCCATTTTTTTTATAGATAGAAATACATATATATTTTTACCCCTTTCACATGTTTCATTTGTTTTGTAATTCTTTTGTATGTTTTAACGTTGCTCTTACTTAGCCGTAATTTTGTTAAAGAGGTGTGGCCAGAATGTGTAGTTATATGTTCAGATTCCCAATAACTGTTTTATTTAGGGATGTGCGATTTTATCGGTATACCGGTATATCGCGATTTTTTGTTGCGTGATACGTATCGTGATACGGAGACCTAAATACCGGTCTTTAGGTACATATTATCCACACAAACTTTCAATAACAATTATAGAAAGTATAAAAAATGTTGTAAAAAGTGGAACAAGATTTTATATACATAAAAATTTCAAGAAAGTAAAATTTTGTTTTTCTAGCTTATTTTTTAGAAAAATACTGACTTTTCATATAAAGTCATTGTAAAAACTGCTTTTAAAAATATGATATTATCGTGATATTGTGGATTGATATATCCATACGAAATTTTTGGCGAACTGTTTTATTATATAGAGATGAAATGGTTCACTGCTGTATAAATTCACCATATGGGTGGTATTATTTTCTCGTTTGAATCATAGTACAAAATCTCAATTTTAGTTTTGTTTCATTTTCAATGCATACCTCTTTTTTATCAAATATTATAAAAATTCACTTTCAAATTCTTTCAGGTTGGAAATGAGATATGACTAGGAGTGTCAAAACTTGATAAAATATGTTGCTGGAGAAAATGTGCTGTCGTTTTTTGGGCTCTACAAGGCAATGTCTTGTAAGCATCAAAAGTGCACCTATAAAAACACAGTGTTTAAGGCAATGCAGTTCATTTTGTACAATGAAGACATTCAACAAGTTGCCCACATTACTCAGAAGTAGAGTGACCATTATTTGTGATAGGACAATTTATACAACAGGTCTGCGATTATCAGGATCAGTTAGATTCACTAATCAGTCCAGCAGTGTAAGGAAAAAGAGAAGGCTGGGTTCACAGGTATTCATCTGAGCCATTGGTTGTATGCTCTTTGTCCATACTTTAATTTAAGAGTTGATCAATTACTTATGTCCATTGACAGACAAGTATTATACAACTTCAATTAATATGTGAAACACTATTTTCTTTTTTTTATTCATTTACAAGAAGCTGAATTTAAGTTTGTACTGGTAAATGTGAACAATCTCTTCAATTAACTCATTTCTGTTATGATGGCTTTGCATATTTACTTATCCCATTTACGTTATGATGGTTTTGCAATGGTATATGAAAAATACAGAAGTCTGATAAACAAATGATACTTTCTCATTTATGTGTAATTATGTTTTTTTTTTCTATTTATAGAGTGGAGTTGAATTACAAGTCACAGCTTACCAGATATCAAAAGAGGACTTTGATTTTGAGTTGTTGGAGAGTTTTTTAGAAAAACAAAATCTGTACAAGGTCACAGATCTACCACCAGGTTCATAAATATCCTATGTGCTTCAAATGAAGAATTTCTCATATTAGATCCACTCATACATGTATTAAACATGCATATGAAGCATAACAAGGTTAATTCTTTTCAATTAAATGATTGATCAAGTTGTATAAGTAACAGTGGACATTCCTTAATTTTATCTAAGGTATGCCTTTATGCATTGTTGTAATCGCTTTATGCTATTTAGTTCATGTTTTAACAGATATGGTAGATGTTATGCATTGTACACCTGTTTATCCAGTGCAAGAGCACCAGAAAGAAATATTTTTCACAAAGTACGTTCTTGGTTTAGTTTTGTGACCATTTGTGTTTTCTTCCAAATGTTAATTAAAGCTTGGAGCAAAATGTATTGCAGTATATGTTTGTGAAACACATAAATGCCCTTGGGCATTGTGATGGAGGAAACCAATTTGATAAAAAGTCTTAATTTTCATTCCCAAAGACAGCACACTCTTGAAATAATACGGTACATTATAAAAGAAGTTAATCTCTGGAAATTTTTCTGATCTTCTTACGCTTTGATGAAGAGTCAAATACTGTTAGATAGAATTTGTAGGTATTTTTACAATCACGTCCAATTTATATTTCAGGCAGGGATCTGTGGTTTTCTGGGATGTGCCTGAAACAGAGGTATACCAAAGCATACATATGTTTTTTAAACCATCAAAAACAGAAAATGCATCCTTTCACATTTACATTTACATTTACTTGTATATAACTTCAAATCCATTTTCTTTTTATTCTGAGTAACATTTTGCTTAATTCCTTTCTTTTTTATTGATCAATTTACAGAGACATGAAGTTATTCAGTTTGTGAAAGAACTAGATCCAGAGAGTACATTTGATGATAAATTCATTGAGGATGAATCAGAGAGCATGATGGTTACATTAAGGTAGATTTGTAAAGAAGATTATATCCAATTTCATCATCAATCAAGAATTTCTTATATGCTGGAAGTATTCCCCTGTCTCTAATTTAAGTAAAGTCCACAGGTGGAAATTTTTTTTAATAGTCTGCACTATAACTTCTAAACAGAAATGTTGGGAATCCATGCTTAACAAAAATATTAATTAAAAAGGATCAAATGATATTTCAAATATATATACTGTACAAGTAGAAGCCCCCCTCCCCTCCCCCGCAAATAATGGATATATGCATGTCTACACTGAGAAATTTCTTTTTCAGTGATAAGGAATCAAGTATCCTGGACAGCAACACCATAAACATGAACAAGACTCTGTACAATAAACAAAAGGGACAACTCCAGAAGTATGCCTGCACTAATGCTTTGATGCAGTCATGTGAGTGTGAAGTCCAGGTCTGGATTAATATTATTACTGTTGTCTAATTTCATGTAATGGTTGTTAACATGTATTTACATGTATTGTTTTCCTTTGAATTAGTACACTTATCGGCAATGGAGAAGCAACTGGAAGATTTTATTGATGATACAGAACACTTATCAATGGTCAGTACATGTACATGCATTAACGAAGCCGAGTCTAATTAATTCTACAGTACCCTAGGGATTTTGATAATTTTTCACTAGTTAATTTTTACTGCTATATTTATTGTTTTAAGTTTAAAAAATCGAATTTTTACCACCCTGAATTCTGAAGGGGCCATCTTAAAAGTTGTCAAATTTTACTATTGGACTCTATGGGAATTTGTTTGAATAGTGCCAAATTATCACATTTTTTCAATATTTTTTGTGTATTTCTGCCCTAGAGATTTCTTTTTCAGTCAAATATATGAAAGCTATTGTAAAAAGTCACAAAATTGTAAAGGTTGATTCTCTATAAGGCCATTTTCCGGCCTACGATAAAATCACTTTAAAATGTGATTTTATATAACTATAATCATTCTAGTTCATGATTTTGATTTTTGTTTTTCAACATCGATCATCTAAGTCACGTGATTTAGAAATAAAAAGTGGCCGTCAGTTAAAGAAAAATGGAGGGTGGGTCTATTCAAATAAAGTTTCTATGTATGTTTCTGAATGTAAATGATCAAAATTGTTTATTTATGTCGGAAATACATCAGACATAAGTGATAAATTGGAAGAATTTATAAATTTAAGGTTCAAGATATTTTTTATGACAAGAATTCCGATGCATCCACATTTTGCATATTTTGAACGTAAATCTTTACAAAATTCACACTGTATGATACTGAAAAGAGTTTTATTAGCATTTTATTAATAGTATTATATCATATATAAATATATTGTAATTGTGTATCATTTCTATAGATGTGTTACTTATTTTACGCATAAAATAACCAGTTTAGAATAAGGTTACTAAGTTTCTATTGACCTATAAAAGTTATGTATCAAATGTTGAAAGCACTGAATTGATTTTGATTGTGATTTAATAAAACTGAAGTAGTAATTAAGAAAAGAAATTCAACAATTGCAAAAAATAAAGAATTAACAGCATAAAAACATCGATGCAAGTACATGTTGACTATCCATATATATGTAAATAGTCAATACATATACATGTAACTCAGAGAGGTTGCATTAAAATATACATCTCTAAGTGAAATGAAATATCGTCATAAAACGGCTTTGCTTTTATTCAATTACTCGTGTTGCACGATATATTTGATTAAAATGCCATCTAAACTTTATGTATTTACAATACATGTATAAAAATTGAGACCCCCCCCCTACCGTTTCTAACGGCACAACAAAAAATGTAGTAGAATATATATCAGAAGTTTTCGTATATACTAGTATACGGACTTACGATTCTACAACATCCCAGGTACAAAATGGACCCTAAGGGTTTGATGCTCCTTTCGCACTCTTGAAACCTGTAGGTTAAAATAAGGCTCCTTCCTAGTGCACCGGCAAAAACTTGTTTTACACAGAGAGTGACAGTTCCCTACCTAAGTCTTCAGCATTTAAAGTGAATATCATGGGTCTTTAGGATATTATCTTTAAAAAAAAGGTCCCGTCCCGCGTTAGGCGTTGGTCGGTAATGCAACTATGCATAAACACTTGACCTTAAGTGGATGATCTCTTTATCTGGTCGAAAAATCCTTAAATGGGGTAAAGCAACAATCAATTATACATTACATATTACATATAGGAATCCCTCTCCTCCTTACCATTTTATTTTTTTTTAGACAGGACTACTGTTCTCGTAACTTATAGCGATGCTATCAAAGAATTGTGATGAATAGATTGAGTCCTCTCTATTAAGACCCATGCAGTTAATAAAATATGGATCAAATGTTACTCGTACGGAAGTGTCCATATAAAAATTATGTTTGTACCCATAGGAAAAAAGTCTCTAACACAAATGGGAAATGCATTTTACCGCTTCAACAAAGATAGCTTTTATCATTTCTAGAACATATATAGTACTCATTAGGAAATACAAGGAATATATGCAATACTGATAACGGAATTCAAAGAAGTAGCATATAAAGATAAACTAAACTATCATTATAAATATAAAAGATAACTCATATTTACACCATATAGCCTATAAAAGTTTTTATTTCTTAATTTTTATTAGTCATTTCAATGAAACGTCTCCACTTGTAATTTCATGACATCCAGTCTTCTCAGTCCTTTGATTTTAGATTTTTAAGTAAAAAGTTCACATTTATTTTTAGTAAATATGCATGGCTGATGTAAGTCTTAGTAAATCATCAGAAAATTGTACTCTAACCAAAAGTTCATAAAAAAACCAATATACATAAGCTGATATCCTTCATTGTGAGCAGTTAGCTTTTTCTGCAAATATCGTAAAAATGAAGCGAAAAGTTTTTATTTGGATGTCATAACCACCTTTAACCAAATTCATAATTTGGTAGTCACTTTTTATGTTTATTAGAAATTTACATGCAAATTTTGGTGTTGGTTAAAGGTGGTTATGACATGCGTATGAGTTATCTAGCACAGCCACCCTCTTGAGTTTTCCCATTACTCTAATGCTAATACGGACCGACAGTACCGTACTTTGTGACCCTATATCATTATAAATACTATTGTATCATTAACCAACCGATATTTATCATTAAATTGGAACATAAGCCTAGTGATTTATGCAATTTTTAAGGGAAAAAATACTATCTGAAAATTTGAAGTCATTGTAGGCCGCAAAACGGCCTTATAGAGAATAATCCTTTCAAGGTTGATCAAGGTCTTTTAAAATTACAAAGTTTATTTTTTCGATAAATAATACCTCTAAAATTCATAAAAATTGCCTTATTGCAGTATAAATACATATCGGTGCAGATGAGTTATCGGCGCAGATAATTTTTTTGGTTAAAAAATAGCAATATTTAGATTGTTAGTATGTTTCTTTTGATGTTCTGTCATCAGTTTTTAGTATAATATCCTTGGACGTCTGCTAACATATAAGCGAGTCATGTGTCATTCTTCAGCGTCATGCATTGCTTACAAAATTGGGAAAAGGTGACATCGTTAGAGCCATTTTTAGCTCACCTGAGCCGAAGGCTCAAGTGAGCTTTTCTGATCACATTTTGTCCGTCGTCCGTTTGACTGTCTGTCTGTCCGTCTGTAAACTTTTCACATTTTCATCTTCTTCTCAAGAACCACTGGGCCAATTTTGACCAAACTTGGTACAAAGCATCCTTGGGTGAAGGGGAATTGAAATTGTTAAAATGAAGGGACATATCCCCTCGCAAGGGGAGATAATCAAGAAAAGATAAAAATAGGGTGGGGTCATTAAAAAATCTTCTTCTCAAGAACCACTGGGCCAGAAAAGCTGAAACTTATGTGAAAGCATCCTAGGGTAGTGTAGATATTAAATTGTTCAAATCATGACCCCCGGGGGAAGGGCGGGGCCACAATGGGAAATCAAAGTTTTACATAGAAATATATAGGAACAAGAGGCCCAGGGGCCACAGCGCTCACCTGAGCACATTGGCTAGGAAAAAGCACATATCAGATCAGAACTGAAAGTTTACTGGGGGGGGGGCTTGAATTTTACCCCAGGGGTTCATGATTTGAACAAACTAGAATCTACACTACCTGAAGATGATTCCATATTAATATCACTAATCATAGCTTTGAATTACTTGAAAAGATGATTTTAAAAGGTTTCCCTATAACTCCCTATGTAAAACTTGGGTCGGCCATTTTGGCCCCATCCTAGCCCCGGGGGTCATGATTTGAACAAATTTGAATCTACACTACCTGAGGATGATTCCACATGAGTTTCATCTTTCCTGGCCCAGTGGTTCTTGAGAAAAAGATTTTTAAAGATTTTTCCAATATATATCGTATGTAAAACTTGGGTCGGCCATTTTGGCCCCACCCTAGCCCCGGGGGTCATGATTTGAACAAACTTGAATCAACACTACCTGAGGATGATTCCACATGAGTTCCATCTTTCCTGGCCCAGTGGTTCTTGAGAAGAAGATTTTTAAAGATTTTTCCTATATATTCCTATGTAAAACTTGGGTCAGCCATTTTGGCCCCACCCTAGCCCAGGGGGTCATGATTTGTACAAACTTGAATCTACACTACCTGAGGATTAGCTGCAATAATGTAGCCCTCTCCGATTTTTTTTTTTTTTTTTTTTTGGGAGAGGGCTACAACTCCTTAGGATCTCTATAATGGCGCAGATGCGGCAGTGGATCACTCCCGCACGGATTTCGGCTCAAATTATCAGTAAACGGCTATTTTATTATTAGCTCTTACCTGGAATCCAAATATGTAATTATGCTAAACATAAATCGATCCAAAAATATTCACAACGTTGTGTGTCACCAGCTTAACTTGAATTTATCCGCCATGTTTACTGACCTTGATGGATTGTATTTTAGGTTCTATAGGAGCGGATCTACTAGGAATTCCCTTATTTTAAGCAAACGTATCGCTGTTTGCGCAAAAATAACACTTGAAATGGTTTTATTTATCGATGTTTTTGTAATATATTAAAGCACAATCGTTTATAAACATCGACATTTGCTTTATTTGGTTGTTCCAAATTTCAAGCGAAAGTCTCACTACGTCACGCGTGAACTGTCATGGCTGCTGAATATTGCAGCTGGGAAAGACACAGATTTATTTTACATGGTTTTCGAGTTTAACAGGCTATGTTGTTGACAGTGAATAAAAATTCCGTCTTATAAGAAGTAACTAAAGTTTAATGTAAAAATAATTTATTTTGCCTCCAATCACCCGTATCAAAAAAATATATTTGCACCATTACGGAGATGCGATGGAATTGTAGCCCTCTCCAGAAAATATCAGATTAAAAAAAATCGGAGAGGGCTACATTATTGCAGCTAGAGGATGATTCCACATGAGTTTCATCTTTCCTGGCCCAGTGGTTCTTGAGAAGAAGATTTTTAAAGATTTTTCCTAAATATTCCTATGTAAAACTTGGGTCGGCCATTATGGCCCCACCCTAGCCCCAGGGGTCATGATTTGAACAAACTTGAATCTACACTACCTGAGGATGATTCCACATGAGTTTCATCTTTCCTGGCCCAGTGGTTCTTGAGAAGAAGATTTTTAAAGATTTTTCCTATATATTCCTATGTAAAACTTGGGTCGGCCATTTTGGCCCCACCCTAGCCCCGGGGGTCATGATTTGAACAAACTTGAATCTACACTACCTGAGGATGATTCCACATGAGTTCCATCTTTCCTGGCCCAGTGGTTCTTGAGAAGAAGATTTTTTAAAAATGCCATTAATTTTTCTCTAATTCATAATTATCTCCCCTTGGAAAAGGGCGTGGCCCTTCATTTGAACAAACTTGAATCCCCTTTACCCAAGGATGCTTTGTGGCAAGTTTGGTTGAAATTGGCCCAGCGGATCTTGAGAAGAAGTCGAAAATGTGAAAAGTTTACAGACAGACAGACAGACGGACAGACGGACGCCGGACAAAATGTGATCAGAAAAGCTCACTTGAGCCTTCGGCTCAGGTGAGCTAAAAATCTTTGAAAATCTTCTTCTCAAGAACTACTGGGCCAGAAAAGCTGAAACTTATGTGAAAGCATCCTAGGGTAGTGTAGATATTAGATTGTTCAAATCATGACCCTCGGGGGAAGGGCGGGGCAACAATGGGGAATCAAAGTTTTACATAGAAATATATAGGAAAAATCTTTGAACATCTTCTTCTCAAGAACTACTGGGCCAGAAACGCTGAAACTTATGTGAAAGCATCCTAGAGTAGTGTAGATATTAAATTGTTCAAATCATGACCCCCGGGGGAAGGGCAGGGCAACAATGGGGAATCAAAGTTTTACATAGAAATATATATAGGAAAAATCTTTGAAAATCTTCTCAAGAACTACTGGGCCAGAAAAGCTGAAACTTATGTGGAAGCATCCTGGGATAGTGTAGATTTTAAATTGTTCAAATCATGACCCCCGGGGGAAGGGTGGGGCCACAATGGGGAATCAAAGTTTTACATAGAAATATATAGGAAAAATCTTTTGAAAATCTTCTTCTCAAGAACCACTGGGCCAGAAAAGTTGAAACTTATGTGGAAGCATTCTTGGGTAGTGTAGATTCTTAATTGTTCAAATCATGACCCCCGGGGAAAGAGCGAGGCCACAATGGGGAATCAAAGTTTTACATAGAAATATATAGGAAAAATCTTTGAAAATCTTCTTCTCAAGAACCACTGGGCCAGAAAAGCTGAAACTTAGGTGGAAGCATCCTGGTATAGTGTAGATTCTAAATGAAATCATGAACCCCGGGGGAATGGTGGGGCCACAATTGGTAATCAAAGTTTTACATAGAAATATATTGGAAAAATCTTAGAAAAGCTTCTTCTCAAGAACCACTGGGCCAGAAAAGCTGAAACTTAGGTGGAAGCATCCTGGTATAATGTAGATTCTAAATGAAATCATGAACCCCGGGGGAATGGTGGGGCCACAATTGGTAATCAAAGTTTTACATAGAAATATATTGGAAAAATCTTAGAAAATCTTCTTCTCAAGAACCACCGGGCCAGAAAAGTTGAAACTTATGTGGAAGCATTCTTGGGTAATGTAGATTTTAAATTGTTCAAATCATGAACCCCAGGGGAAGGGTGGAGCCACAATGGGGGGATCAAAGTTTTACATAAAAATATATAGGAAAAATCTTTGAAAATCTTCTTCTCAAGAACCACTGGGCCAGAAAAGCTGAAACTTATTTACACATGGAAGGATCCTGGGGTAGTTGATTTCAAAATGTCTTAATTATGATCAGTGGGGTAGGGTGGTGATACATAATGTATTACAAGGGGGAAATCTGGTAAAGAACAGAATGGTCAAAGCTTCTCAGGTGAGCGATGTGGCCCATGGGCCTCTTGTTTTCCATAATATTGTCGTAAAAAAATACGGTAAAATCACATTTTCAAACCAGTAAGCGTTACAGATAATGTTAATTTTTTTTATATTAAAATCACAATATTTTGGAAAGGTATACTGTTGCCATTATGACTGCATGAAAATAAAAAGCTGCGCAAAGTCGTGCACACTCGAATTAGACTCGGCCTTGTTAAATGCAAACTATCAATGTTTGGTAGATATACATAGACAAAACACGCTATACATCTACATTGATCTTTTGAAAACTTGATAACATACAGGTAATTACTTCAGATTTAAATTTTTCTGAAACTTAAATCAGTATACTGGTACATGTATGATGTTGTTGGGTTTCTGAAATAATTGTAGATTACACAGTGTGTGCATTTTCATTCAAGAATTATTTTTTAATTTTCATTTTATTCCAATATTTTATTTCACTGAATTTGCATCATTACCAGGACTTGAAGGCTGGCAACCCTATTAGAATCAAAGCAAGAGAAGTTCAGCAACATCTAGGGAAATTATTTGAATTTAGGTATGCAGATCTTTTGAAACATTTAATTCTTTAAAGAGCAATAAAATTTAAAAAAAAATATTAAGACTTCTGATTTTGCATAGAGCCATTAAGGGTTTTATTTAAGATGGATTCATCATCAAAGAGAAATGTAAATAGATGAGTAATCTCATTACAGGAAGAATTTGAACCTGTGCTCTGATCTCTTAGATACACCTGATTTTTACTGGGACAGAGCAGAACTGGAAAAGCTGTACTTAGATCTGTGTAAAATAATGCAGACCAAATACAGAACAAAGGTACTTACAGATTTCAGATTCTAGGAAGATAAAATTTTGTAAGCATAAACAATTTATTTTGTTTCTTCCTTTAAAGTGACTTTCTGACATATATATTTGCGTCTGTGGATATATTTGTCAGAAAAAGAGTCACTTTTGCAGCTTTAGATGGCTTCAGTCTGTTATGATGTTTCAGGTGATGAATGAGAAGATAAATTACTGCTGTGAGTTGATGGAGTTGTTAAATAATAAGTTTACTGATGCTCGCCATACCAAACTAGAATGGATGATCATTGTTCTCATCATGATTGAGGTGGGTGTTTTTAGCTCACCTGAGCCGAAGGCTCAAATGAGCTTTTCTGATCAAAATTTGTCCGTCGTCTGTCGTCGTCGTTGTTGTTGTAAACTTTTCAAATTTTCATCTTCTTCTCAAGAACCACTGGGCCAATTTCAACCAAACTTGCCACAAAGTATCCTTGGGTAAAGGGGATTCAAATTTGTTCAAATGAAGGGCCACGCCCTTTTCCAAGGGGAGATAATCATGAATTAGAGAAAAATTAATGGCATTTTTAAAAAATCTTCTTCTCAAGAACCACTGGGCCAGGAAAGATGAAACTCATGTGGAATCATCCTCAGGTAGTGTAGATTCAAGTTTCTTCAAGTCATGACCCCCGGGGGTAGGGCTGGGCCAAAATGGCTGATCAAAGTTTTACATAGGAATATATAGGAAAAATCTTTAAAATCTTCTTCTCAAGAACCACTGGGCCAGGAAAGATGAAACTCATGTGAAATCATCCTCAGGTAGTGTAGATTCAAGTTTGTTCAAGTCATGACCCCCGGGGGTAGGGCGGGGCCAAAATGGCCGATCAAAGTTTTACATAGGAATATATAGGAAAAATCTTTAAAAATCTTCTTCTCAAGAACCACTGGGCCAGGAAAGATGAAACTCATGTGGAATCATCCTCAGGTAGTGTAGATTCAATTTTGTTCAAGTCATGACCCCTGTGGGTAGGGCGGGGCCAAAATGGCCTACCAAAGTTTTACATAGGAATATATAAGGAAACCTTTATAAATCTTCTTTTCAAGTATTTCAAAGCCATGATTAGTAATATTTATATGGAATCATCCTCAGGTAATGTAGATTCTAGTTCATTGAAATTATGATCCCCTGGGGGGTTAAATTTCAAGCCCCCCCCCCCCCCCCCTCCCCCACTTAAGTTAACTTTCAGTTCTGATCTGTGTTTTTTTCCTAGCTGATGTGCTCAGGTGAGCGCTGTGGCCCCTGGGCCTCTTGTTATAATTATTGTTCATGTATTTACAAATGCATTGTCAAATTAGACTATCGGTAGATTTGTCCATTTCTGTAAACTTACCATATTCGGTTTTCTGTGAACCACTGGATGAATTCAGTTATACATGTTTTTAAATTTCAGCGAGAGGAGATTTTATAGTCTCTAGAAATATAATAATGTCTGAAATTTTATTAAAATGGTACCAGTTATATGTACATGTTATTTTTTCAAGAAGTAATATTTTTCAAAAGTGGATCATGGATCAAAGTGTTTATGTTCTTGACTAATAATGGAATTCAGAAAAATTTCCACCACACAAATATTGCCATGATTACAGTGTAATGGAAAAGGCTGGTTCTGGAATAGAACATGGGACCCCTGCATCACTAGTTAGGTGCTCTATTGACTGAGCCACCATGGCTGATATCCATTGCCCAAACCATTACAACAGCATTTTTGACTTGATTTCAATGAAATTTTATACAAGTTTAGAAAACATCTAATTCTGTAAATATTGGACTATCTTAAGGTAGGATTCTTCTCACATTTCTTGTATTCAAAAATTAATGAAATTTTCACAGAATCAAGAGGACAATATCACTAAGTAATGGTATCAGTGAGATTAAATTTGAGCGTTTAATATTAGAGGCAAGGTCAGGTCAAGGTCATTACCTTTTTCAGGACATTAAGAATAATAAAAAATTACTGTTTCCAATCATGCGATCCCTACTTGTAATTTTTCTTTTTGCATAAAAAGATACTACCATATAGGGCCTATAAGATGATAATACCAAATTGGCATGGATAATTTAAATAATATGGATATTTGCTAATCCGAATTTCCTCTACTTTTCTTAAATTAATAGGATTTATTAGCTATTTTTATATGCTTCCTATATTTAACTTTTTCTAATTTTCACATATAGTAAAATTGTCACATTAAGGTACAAAATGATACAAAAACTAAAAGTTTTGATCATTTACTAAGAGAGAAATAACACTTTTTACCGATTTTTGGCTCAAATCTGTACTTAGATTTGAAGCATTCAAAAGCCAACATATTTCTAGTATGTGTGAAAAATCTTATTTATTTTATATATTTTGAAACTTTAGTCCCTTATTGTTAATTTAACTTACATTTGAAAATTTTGTCTAGTCTTTGATTGCGTAAAAATTATAACTAAATTCAATGTTATATAATAATTTTGAGAGGCAGAAAAGAAGATATTTTCATATGCCACCATATTACGCCAAAAATATAGTCCCTGCTAGTTTTCAAACGCAGTTAACCATTTCTATTTAAAGTTGTATAACTGTGATGAGGAAAGAAAAATATGGTCTTTTCATACATGTTAACTCTCCCGATTTAGGCGGGAGTCTACCGCTTTTTCACTCCATCTCCCGCCTACCGATTTAATTCAGAAATCTACCGCTTTTCTACAAAAGCTGCGTCTAAAGTATTTTTGGTTCGCTTGGGTATCCATTTTTGAAGCCACTCTCATAAAATCTCGCTAGATATCGCGTGATTTGACTCGGAATCATACAAACGCTTTTTTTGTACATAGATTTCAAGCACGGATTTGACAACGACAACAACATTAGACTACCAGTGATTACATTGGTTACGATAAATTAATCAACATCCCTGCCATGAAAAGGGAGATACAGCTTTTAAGAATTAGATGAAAATATTTGACATCGTCTTTAAAAGCACAGAAGCTCACAACTTTATCAATAAAGTCAATAGAAATCACTTGATTGACCAAGCCATGTGGCACATCTCTACTTTCGTTTTCGATCATCGCGGGAAATCTGATTTATATAACGAAAGATACGAACTTGTTTTAGATCTAGATTAAACCATGCCATAATTTGTTTGTTTAAAAACTGAATGAACATTCAGAATAATTGCTTCTAGGCTATTTCAGCAAAGATCACTCTTCAAAAGGCTAAGTAAAGCAGCCAATCCAAGCAAAATGATGAGCATGAATTTATGTCAAACTTAAGGTGTTTCTGTCTTCTTCTTTGCTGTTGATATTTAAGATTAATTAGTGCAGGTACCTGATTTCATTTAAGGCTTATAATATACATGTATATTACATAAAAAATATCGATAATCCAAACATTAAACAACACGCGCGCGACGCTACCGCTTTTGAGGTCTGGATCTCCCTCTTTTTCATCACAATAGGTTAACATGTATGGTCTTTTAAATCTCTTACATCTAAATATAGAAGACATACCAACAAATGTACTTTGAATATTCCATCTAGTCAGAAACCAGAGAAGAATCCTACCTTAAGTCTATCGATAAAATTGGGTACAAGTTTAGAAAACATTATTTTCTAAGATGTATAAAACTACATATGCATGTATCAAAAGCATGATAATTACACAGTCTCCTCACCTGCCTTATCTTTTGTAGGTTGTGTTTGAGTGTTTCCACCTCTACAGGAATGACTACGATTGGTTTGTTGGGAAAGCAGATCCTAAAGAGTCGGCAGAGATGGGGGACAATTAATTCATGCTATTGCTTGCTGGACCAAGGATAATTATCAACATCAATTTAAACTTTAAAATCTCAGATTGTGTAAAAAACAGATATGTGTACTTGTGTTACTGTCATCATTCACTGACATGTCATGATGTGTATCATACAATTATGACAGTCATGTTCTTGTTATGAAAATTCCAAGACAGTTCTTTTCTTCCAGGGCTAATATTTTTTTTTTAAACCTTGAAAAGGTTGTCACATTGAACTAGTGTTCATATCCCAAATTTATTACAGATACCGGTTTGCAAGCGAATAAATGATATTTGTTCTCAAGCTCTTGTGTTTTGAATTTATGTCATTCGACAGGGCATACTGCATCTTCATAATTACCTGTAACGGGAGAGGAGAAAATGCAGCGGACCAGACCGTGATTCGAACCCGGGCCCCCTGAAACTCCAGTCAGGTGCTCCACCAACTGAGCTATCTGGCCACTGGCGATCAAACCTGGCTGACCGCCACATACCCAAAGAAATGGGGGCCAAAGGAATACAACCAGGAAAAGTTGTCTAATCTGGATGTATATTCCAAGACCTCATCTACCTGGTAATATGATGTGAACTTTCTTTTTCAGTAAATGCACATTTACATGTATACATGGAATATTTATGATCTTTATACATGGTATTTTCAGTTCCTGATTGGTGTTATATTCTATATTCTTTAAAGAATTTTTTTTTGAAAAAAAAATTTAAAGTAACAAAAGAATATACACCGTAAGATATCAACTGTTAATTTATATTATTCAAACACCTGTACTAATCATTTTAATTTCTGCTTCTAACTCTAAATATGTGTTCAGGAACATTTCCAATTTAAAATAAATAGTCTCCTCAATATTGAAAATTGCTCATAGAACAATATCCTTAAGCTTTAGTCTATATTCATGTACATGTATATGACATGCTGGTAAATGTATAAACTTTCAACAGAGAGAAACTTTTCAAGCAATGTACATACATCTCCATATTTTCATACAGTTCATGACATCAGTTATTATGACCTTTCATTCTCTACAGAAATATTCCTGAAACAATACCTCACAACTATTTGGTAAATATTATGGTTAAAGCTGAACATGATTCAAAAAAAGAATTTGTCCGCCATTTTTTTTTTCAGATTCTCGCTTTATCTGCAGACCCCTATATAAAGGGCATTGTTAAATGAAATCAGTCAACACCAGTGTAGATGAACATGTGCTCTACAGCTCTTGGTAGCAACAATAATAACGTAATACTTCGTCTTATGCAGGAAAGTAAGATACAAAGAAACTTACAATTATAGTTGTAAAGGTAAATGCAGTATAGAGGCAAACACAGATACATGTAACTGCAATAAAATGTAAACAAAGGTAGTGCAAGATAACCAGTACGAACATGGTCGCCATTCAACGCCGATACCCATGACAATAAAGCAGTCAGGTGTAACAAATACGAAGAGTATACCCTGGTGTTGATGTATCGTAGATAATGATATCGAAAATGGCCTATGCCTATTTACGAGTCTTGTTCAGCTTTAAGAAGTCTTTTAGTTACCATGTTACTTAAATGTTGATGAAACAAAGCAATACTTGACACCCACATCTGAGGTATGGGGCAAAAAAAACCCCAAAAAACAAAAAAAAAAACAGCTGTTGACTCTCAAACCCTTTATTGCCATATATATTGCATTAAAAATCTTTATCACTCACCCATACATTACAAAATAGTATACAATGTAAGAAAATACAATGCATATCCTTTCAGTAACATCAATTACATGTACCTCCTCAAAGTGAAATGATTTAGTGATCTCTGTAATTTCCTACCTCTCTTTTTGTGTGAGAACACTTTACAATATACAAAACTGTAGATTAGTAGGTTAAGTATATGACATAATGAATTTATCTACAACGGTTCCCATTCCCTTACAAAATGAAATGATATGTTAATTGTGACCTTTATGTGTTTTCACTCAATGAAATTATATTTCAGAATATGAGAACATTAAATGAAATGCAGAAATGAAACAATGCTCTTTTGGCAGTGATGCAGCAATGTCTTAAGGCCGAGAAATTTGTGATAAAAAATATAAAATGACGACCTCTCACACATACGGATAAATGAACAAGTTCTTTTACAACAGACCCTTCCTTCTAAATTTAGCAGTGTGGCATTCATTTCTTCTGTCTTCATTATTTTGTAAACATCATTAGACTTACTTTATGTGCAACATCCCCTCTTTTACTTTGCACTCATGAAGTTTTATTTATACATTGTAGTCCATTTGTTCATTATTCATTTGAAATCAAATAGTGTCAGGCTAGTAGAGGGTATAGCACTGTAAATGTAATATGCACACTGGAGTTGTGGCCACATATAAACACCATAGAGAATTCAACACTAAGCTGACCACAGGGGAAGGCCATGGAATATTTGTCTCGACATAAAACAGAAGTAATATTTCTAAACAATACAGACTTGGAATCATGATTTTGTACACCAACAACTGCACCAAAAAATGCAAAAATAAGAATGTATTAGAACCCACAATTATGGCAAAGTCACAATCAGACTGCTCTCTTGCACCATGTTCTAACCCATTTTCACAAAAATCTCATCCAGAACTAGGTCACAAAATCTCACTCAAATCTAGGTCAGCATGTCCTAATTAGGTCATATATTAATCTAGATCCATGTTGTCCTCATCCATCTCTATGTCCTCTTCTGGTAAACTGAATCTGAAATTATTCAAATCAAACTTCAATGGCACAAAATACTTGTAACAACTAGGTTTTAAAAGACATCCACTGCACTTATGAAAGGCAGGAATCGTGCACTCTTCCTTTTTTTCCTCTCATTTTACATCTGCCACCACTGAAATACTTACAATGGAGATGATGGGAGAGCAGTGCTATCTTGCTCTGCCATTGTTATAACCGGTTCCTCTTCGTCATTGTCAGTGGCCTCCTGGTCATGTGACTTATCCCCCGTGTCCGCTGGTCGCCCTAGAGGTGGCTTCCATAGCACTACTTGCAAGTTCGAGTTGTTTCTGTTTTGAAAAAAAAAAGTTACTAATATGTGTATATTTGTAACATGACCATAAAAAATATTTTTTTTTTATGATACATGTACCTTGAACTACTTTCTAAACATTGGACTTGAAGACAAGGCAATTTTATGCAGTTTCATTATTAAAAGGGTATTTTAAAAATTATTCCAATTTAATGAACTGCATATTGACAAAGCAGTGAAACTATCTTAGCTTTATGTAATCAATTAAAATGCTTTTTAAAGTAAGAGATATACAATATCAAAAAAAATTTACAAAATCAAAAGAGATCCTTACATGTCCTCTAATATTCTCTTTGGCAGTATTGGTGAAGGGTTAAATATACCAGCTGTTACTTTTTCTGGTAAATTTAGTTTTAGTTTAAACTTAGGTTTGTCTTTCCTTGTCTTCTCCCTATCTCTGCTTTCTGAAACATCATCTTCAAGCCTAAAATGATAACAATGCATCAATTTACTTCCTGTATCAAATGCTTCTCTCCCTTGATTATTTTTCTTTTCTTTCCTCCATCTCTAATAACAGTGTACATGTATTTTATAAAATAAATTTCAACTTCATAAAAGAACAAATTAATCCTGAAAAGTATTAGCAATAATTCTCATTTGATCTAACAACCTTTTTTCTAGTTCCTTCAGTCGTTGCAGCCCTTCTGCTTCTGTACAATATTGTGCATCCATATCACTAGACAACACAACGTCAGGTAAAGGCTGCACAGGTGGTGGGGACAGGTTTCTTGTACCTGTACACTGTATGTTTAAACTCTGCATTCTGTCTGCCATCTTTTCTTCTGTTAAAAAAATTTTATTCTCCGGAGAACCTGCTCTGAAATAAGAAATATTCATTGAATTACTTTGATGACTTTTCAGACCAAAAGTTTTTTAATTTGGTATCTTATTAAAGTCATTTGAATATAAATCACAATCCTTGCACATAGACAATGTGTGAGATTAGATAAGATAAAATAAAAACTTACTCAATATCCTCTGTTGCATGACGTTTATTTCTCCTAGTTGGACCACTGCAAGATGGGCTTGGTCTGCATTAAGAAAATAATATTCTAACTAAAATTTCTCTTAAATAAATTAAGTTGATTTACTTCTGTCATTGTTGTCAGTATGAATCTAAAAACATGAAATTTTAATACCTCAGTAATAGAATTGTGTGCAAAATCAACTCATCTGCCTGAAGACACTTACACAATGTTGTAACTCTGTGAAACTGTTGAGTTCCCTGTAAAAGTGGGGACCCTTGACATCCCTGAGTTCACCATGCCGTAAACCTGATCAGTCCACGGCATGTAGTTAGGAACAGTATGCTGCCATGATGCTCCCATTCCAGGAACAACTCGCTGTGGGTTCATGTAGGTGTTAGAATAGAGTCCACCTGGTTGGCTTGTTTGTGTAAAACCTAAAAGAAAAGGGAAACTACTCTTCATATTTACAATGTAAGCTGTAACAAATTCAGAATACTGTACATGTACAGAATATTGATGTAATGGTACTCCAAATTTATGAAAATAAAATTAAGATAATGTCCAAGTAGAAACTTTACTTCAAATATGAAAATGCAACAGGTTTACAAACCTGCAGTCAGCTGATTTGCTGACGTGGGAACTGCAAAGGTAAAATTTCCTGGGTAGTTGCATCCTCCCTGGTTATTTTGCATTGGAGTGGAGTTAATGATGTCAGGTTTGTGACCAAATTGTCCAATGTCTGGGACGTAGTTATTGTTGGAGTATATTCCAATATCAGGATTTGTCATATTTTTCTATGACAATGTCTTAGCTGCTATGCTTTGTAGTTCATTCTGTTTTTCGGGCTGTAATGTCAAGAAGATCAAGATGTAGTCATATTTCTAGTTTGTACCAGAATGTTCTGGAATCATCACGATATAAAAGCACAGAAAAAGATTTCTTAACTTGAATCAAATAATTTTTTCAGTAAATAAGCCCATGACTTACTTGTTGAAAACCTAAAACAAACCAGACACTGCAAAACGTTGTCTGGAAATATACACAACAAAGATTGATTTTAAACCGGAAGCAGCTGATTTGATTTGGTTTTCGGAAGTCATTATAGACTTAGGTAAAACAAGGTGTTATATTCCTTACAAAAATAATTTTAAGGTCATCCTTTTCTATAAAAGATTGAGTCCATTATGCAAAACTAGCCTAAATGAAAATTAGTAAATATTTTACGACATATATCGTAAGTCAAATCGCGGGAAATAACTTTCACTTTCACATTTAGATTTTTGAGTTTGACAAGATTTACCATAAAATGTGGTTATTAAAGTCTTTGTCAGAGAAAGGTAGTGTATTAAACAACTGAAAGTATTTATATACATAAATAAATAACAGGGTTTTTAATATTTTTTTCTGTATATAACGTTTTTCAGATAAAACAATACCTTTGTTTACTAATGCTGTGTATGTAGTCGGACGAAAAGACTGTGAGATTCTACTACCAGTGGACCCAGCTGTCAGTAGAAAACATGCTCAAATTAAAGTCTCACATGCAGAAACTAGCATAGTAAGTGAACTAGTTTGTCACAAATCACTCATTTATTTGTGTCTCAGTATGTTTTAAGTGGACTGTAGTGTCAGTGCTAAAATGCAGTTCTAAATGTTAGAATTTGTTGCATTGATCTGTGGTATAAAAGAAAATGACACATTATTTCTGTTTGCAGTCAAAGCCAGATCATTTACCAATAATTTTACTAACGGATCTTTCCAAGTTTGGTACATGGCTCAATAATGACAAGCTGAATAAAAATGAAGAGAAAACGCTAAGTGATGGAGATCAAATTACCTTTGGTTCTCCGAAATCTTCATTCAGGTCAGTTAAAATAATATTTTCTATTTCTGTCCAAATTATTCTTGTGATTAACATATATTTTCATGAACAGATGATCATGGATGATGGTTTGTGATGAATTTAACAAAACGTGTTAAGGTCATATCTTAAAGGTTGATAAACAGTGTATAATGATCCTTATATTTTTAGAGTTGTGTATGAACCTTTCATCATTTCAACATCATGTTTGGATAACCCATCAAAGAAGCTTGTCCGAACACATGTGACTGCGTTAGGGGGTCACATGGTAAATGAGTGGCGGCCAGACTGTAGTCTCCTAGTGATGAATAACCTCAGTGTCACAATCAAGGTCACCACATTTCATCCCTGTTAGCATAACAATCAACACTTGTCTAAGTTTTAAATTACTTTCTTTAAGTTTTATGATTCAGTTGAAGAATGCTGAATGCATATACATTTACAACGTACATGATTTCTTTCTTTCAATATCTTTGATAAGAATATCATTTATCATCCCTCTTTTTCCTTTAAAGAAATGATTGCCATATTTTTTATTTTTATACTGGTAGGTCATTGCAGCATTAGTTTCACAAAAACATATAGTTACTCCAGCTTATATAGAAAAAATGGTCGAGTGTACCAAGGAGGGAAAACTACAGCCTGACCCAGATTTGTATGTCCTTTTTTAGCTGATGCAGATTTTGTACGCTGTAAATCAAGTGCAAATTTATTTTGAAATAAGCCAACATGTATTTAGGTTCCTTCCAAGTATCTCAGAAACTCAAATAAACCCAGATCAAGTCTCCTTCAAACCAGACATAAAGAGAGCAACAATATTCCAAGGAATGAAGTTTATCTTTCTCAATACAAAACAGGTACTGCTTTTTATGCATCTGCATCAATGAAATAAGTTGCTTTAAATTTTTTTTTTTTTTTTTTGCAAATTTTTTAGTATGTGACAAAGTCTTTCTTAAATCTTGAACATAAAAGAGTTATGATTACCATTTCTGTCCAACTTATTTTTGTGAGTAAAGTATATTTTCATGATGAGTTATGACAAGGTAATTATTGTCAGTATTATATTCACTAGTTAACAATTTTAAAACATTTGATTTCAAGAGTTCATTGAGAGATTTTAAAAGATAATGGTTTCCAGTTTAAGAAAATGAGCCTGACGGTGGAGATGGGAGGAGGGCTTCCAATTCTGATGGACGACCCGTCTAGTGGCGATATGGAGATGATGGTAGAGCCAGGCTCTGTGGTGATGCAGAGTGATCCCTCGGACGCTTCACAGAGATTCTCACAGACAAATGTAGACTGGATTACCAAAGTCATCAAGTACCTCAAGAAGTAAGCAAGTGTAATAGTTGATGAAAATTCAGACTGATTTTGTGCTTTGATTAAAAAAATGAAAATTGTGAAATTTGCTCTTGTAGACATAAGAAGCACCTTATTCAGGATGCTGAGTTGGGATTTGCTGTTCTTCACTGTTCAACAGAACAACATTGTAACCCAGATGTGCCATTCAGTAAGTGAAGTTTAAAAAGCATACATGTATTTTTATAAACACTCTTAATTCTGTTTGTACCTGGATAATTGTCATTACATATCAAAGCAAAAATTTGTTCATTCCCATGCTTAGCATGTATGCTGAACTGAATGTCAGAAAACTGAAGTAGTTGTTTTTTGAAATCCATGAATATTGCTGTAGAGAACATAAAATCTACTTCCTCTATTCTATTTGTCCACATTTACACTATTCTATTTGTCCACATTTACAGTGTATTTATCTTAAGCCTGTACATTTTATGCTATCTATAATTGATTAAATTTTCTTTTATCCAGTGAGTCAGGTGCCCCAGCCAAATGTCCCCTCCCAGTCCCTCACTCAGACAGACGTACTGGCCCACAACACAGAACCAGGGAGCAGGTAGCAGGAGATTTACTCTTTATTTGACCAGTTACAGAAAAAGTTACAGACATATTGCTTGTAGAAAAAAAATCTTTGTTGTATTATTTTGTGTAAAAATGTTTTGATGGATTCAAAGAGAAGGGAATGTAAGAATTGTTGGGGAGACAGAATTATGATTTAAGAAATCTGTAGATGTTATATTCTTCTCAGTCTTTGATTAAAATATTTGAAGTAGGACATTTCCAGTGGATTTAATGTGATGGTAGTCCTAACTTGCATGAAAATTTCTAAATGCACATGGTTTCCACAATAAAGTTTATGGAACATTTTCACATGTACAGATTTGTGTACCTGTGTACCATTTATTAGTATTACATTCATAGTTCAGTATTATCTAAACTTGTATGATAGAGAGTTGAGAATATTTTGATTCAATTTATGTAATGGTTTTATTTTTTGTATATGTAGATCTCCCGTAATCGAGAGAAAAAATGATCCTGTTCAAATTAATGAGACAAGAATAGAAACAGATGTAAGTCAAATTATGCATTTTAACATAAATTTTTAAATTAACTTATTTATTAAACAATTGAATTTCGGTGACAAGAAGAAGATACATTCACAGAATATTTTTTTGAATGGCAAATGGTACATTTTCCCTTCATTTTTAAAGCAGGACAAATCACACACAGCTCCATCCAAGAGAGAATCACAAAAGACGGATTACAAACTTCACAGGAGAATTTCTGGAAGTGAAACCATCAGGGAGACAACCCAGCTGGGGACAATGGAACAAACTCCATCAAGGTAAAATCATATGTTTTCAAATTGCAGAATTTTTTATGCTAATTTTTCTGGGGATGGTAGCAAGGCTAATCAGAAAATCACAGCCATTTGCCCCAAAACTTTGTTACCGTGTGTTTAAATGAACATATTATTTATGCTTTTGGTTGTCGTTATATAATTAGGATCACTCTTTATAACCCCTATCAGTTTAAGTCAAGGTACTATTTTTAGAAATGATGCAATATCTGAATCAGTGGATGGGCAGTGTTTGGGAAAGCAGATCAAGAAAGAAAAAGTTACGCCGGAAAAGCCTGATGTTATAAGACGAAGTCCAAGAAGATCACCTAGTCCATCCACTTCAAGACATTCACAGGAAAAAAAGTTAACAGGCAAATCAAACAGGTCACCTAGTCCAGGTCCATCCAGTAAGACACCATTGTCCAGAAAATCTTCTGGGAAGGGGAAAGAAGCTTCGATATTTAATGATGTCAAGGTGGAATCAAATGTAGATTCAGAGGAGTTAAGCGCAGTGTATGAGACAGAGAAAAATAAGGCACCTTTGACTGTAGACTTTGGAGAGAATGAATGGTCCTCAAAACAGAGAAAGACAAACAAGACAGACTCAAGATTATCACTGAGGAAACAGAGTCCTGAAAAGCCGAGCTCTGCTCTGGTTACATTGAGTGGGAGAACCAGGGATAAAAGGAGGATCATTGTAGAAGATTCAGATGAGGAATTTCTACCCAGTTCAAAGAGGGCAAGAAATAAACCTCAGTCAGAAGAAGAGGTGGACTTATTTGAGGTGAATTTAAGTCGGGCAAGAGGCTCTCATTCTAAATCTTCTGATGCAGATGATCATGAAGACTTGTTTGATGTGGTGGTCTCCAAGTCAAGCAAAAAATCAAAAGAAAAGTCTAACCAGCCAAGGACTAGCAGCAGAAACTTGTCTGAGGAAGCAGGTTCTGATGAGGACCTGTTTAATGTTATGGAGGGGTCCCCTGAAAAGTCCTCAAGGAAAAGCCCAGAGAAGACATCAACATCAAGGAAATCTCCAGAGAAGACATCGACATCAAGGAAATCTCCAGAGAAGACATCATCCAATGGAGAGAGGAATACAGCAACAATGTCCAATAGAGCAGGAGAGAGAAATGGCATCAGAGTCAAGGAAGAATTACCAGAAGTAAGTACACATGTACTTGTATATAAACTGTTTATGAACTATACATGCCCGTTTTACAAAGAAATGTAAGACTAAAAGACCAAAATTTAATTGTGCTCATAATTTTCTATTTTACATTGATTTGAAAATTTTCTAATCTTTTTAAAAAACTAAACAAAATATATTTATGTAAGCAATTTCAAACAGAATGATTATTAATTCTACAAAATTTTACTATCAACTTAAGTTTTTAGTCTTAGTCATAAGTTCTTTTGTAAAATGGGCCCCTGCTGAATTTTTTTAAGCTGTTCTTCTTGAAAAATCTGCTATGATGTTGATGTTGTAGTGAATACAGTCTACAATTTTTAGGTGAATGGACACAGAGAGGAGATGACTTGTACAAGAAGTCCAGCTGCTGCTCCAGACGGTTTTCTAAATGCCAGGGCACAGACAGGGGTCTGTATTTTGAATCAGGCATCTTGTAAAATTAGATAAGTGAATATATATTGCATTATGGGAATATATTTTTGGGATGGACTTGAGTATTTTGATAAAATGATATCAGCTATAAAGAACTTATAAACTATATATTTTGTTATTCCTGATAAAACCAACTGAAAAGAGGACATTGTTTACCATTAGACATATGAAACACTGAAAAATAATTAAATGGTCATAAATTTACATGTGGGATAATGCAAGTGATATTTGAACTACATCATATATATATAGTACATGTACTACAATGTATTTTGAAGCATAGGTAGGGCCCACCTTGCAATTGGTAAAGATAAAATGTAAAATTTGTATATACTTACAATTAACTGTACTCTAACTGTACATTGCATTATAGATGGCAGACATAAAGTCAGAATACATAAAGGAAGAGGACCTGCCGTCTAGGTTAATTGTGACAAAGTTTGTAGATCTGGTCGCTCGCCCTCCACGATCGGCGCCGACAGATCCAGGGGAGACTACTCCTGATGGGTATATCAGATGGAAAGGCAAACTGGTTAGGAACTTCAAGAAATTCAAAAAGGTAGAACTTCTGATTTATTGATTCAGATCCATTAATTAAGGAGATGGAAAAATGATTTATTTGTAAAAATAAAAATTTTTATGCTTTATAAGTTGTTAATAAGAAATTTAAATTGTATCTACATGTTGTCTGGTTGTCTGGTAGACAACTCTTTCATTACATAAAACAAATTATATACTTTTACATGGAAATAACCTTTTTACCAACTTTTGTAATATAACTTATGAATGTATAAAAAAAAATATCTTGTCTAGAACAGCAAAATCACATTTAGCCATACTTAAATGGAAAATCATCTGACAGATGATGTAGATTCAAGTTCGTTTGGAGTTTAATGTAATATATATTTATTTATACACAGAACCAGAATTGTGGATCGAATGGACTCCCTCGTATTATAGGAGGCAGTGACCTACAGCCTTATGTCCCCGCCCAGAGTAAGGAGGTTGAGCAGTGGTTCAGGGAAGCCAGAGAGGTACCAAAAAGGGGGTTTGGTTAACTTTGTAAGAATTATGAAAAAATAACATTATTTTATTTTTCTGCAGCATCTAGGTTTTAGTACTATGTCAATAAAATAAGTTTTTGGTCACAATGATGATTCGAGATCCATTCAAAATCATTTTGAAAATTAAATATTTATCAAATCAAGCTAAAAGGACAAGTTTGTGTTCGAACATTGGAATTTGAATATAAGAGAAAAACTGGACCAAAATATTCTTAAAAGTTCTAATAAAATGATAGACGATTGTTCTGATATTTTTTTGTACAGGCAGAAAGCCAGGAGACAGAGGCGGAGAGAAGAGCTCAGGAGTTGTTTGAGTAAGTCTCATGCAGAATGAATTTCTTATTCCAAACTGGAAAACAAAATGTAAAAGCATTTTCTGTCAAGTTTTATAAGTAGGATGCTTACTGTTCTTTGTTTTATTTTCAGCTTTGAACCAAAAACAGGGAACAAAAGAAGAGGCCGTTAAAAGATATTGTTGCATTTTTTCTGAGACTGTTATATATGTTATTGAAATTAAAAAAATATTAAAATGGGTTGTTTAATGTCTTAATTTCTTCAATAAGAAATTTGCAATTTTAACATTTCTTTAACCATTGAAAACATTTTTTAAAAAAATAGTGCAAGTTTTCCAAGGTTGGACAACAGATAGAAAAATTTTTTTTAACCATAATGAAAGGACATGATTGTTTTCAAAATAATAGTAAAATGAAAAAAAAAAATTACCATTGAAATGAATTTCATGAAAATGAGACACCCTCACTTAAAACCTAAAAATTCAATTTTATTACAGAATTATGTATCTTCAAGAATAATTCAATAAAAGGCAAATGGAAAAAAAATCAATACTTGATCAGGCACTTCTTCATTAGGATAAGTACTTCGATATATATGGATTCATTTCAATTGCACATGGCCGGTCCTTCGGATGAGACCGTAGAAACCCAGGTCTCGTGTCGCAGTAGGTGCTGGCAAGAAAAAAATCTCTCCCTGCTTAATGGCCCTGAGTGCCGAGCATGGGACAAACTTTGCAGCTCTCTACTTGCAAGTGGTGGCTTTTCTATGGGTGAAAAATTCTCGAGAGGGACGTTGAACAGTATACAATTAATCAATCACTCTTGGAAAGGGGAATAACTTATTTTCAATTTTTGAAGTTGAAGAGTGAAAATCGAATAATTTCCCTTTTCACCCAAGAAATGTAGTTATAAAACAATTAATTTCTTCTTCAATAATATTGACCATTTACCTCAAAAAAAAAAAAAAAAAAAAAAAAGAAGAAGAAAGAATAAATACATTGATAAAAATAAAATTTAAATATTTTGATAAAATATTTTGATCAATGTATTTTCTTTATGTAAAACGAAATAAAACTTTATCATTTTTGGAATAAATAGGATCCCTCTGTGATTTGGTGAATTTAATATGAACAGTGTATTTCATCGGACATAGAAATAAACACCATGAAACTAGAGACTCTTATTATCCGGAACGCAGAAGGTTGTTTTGGAAGGTTTTTACCGTTATCGATGAATCGTTGTTTCCAGTTACAGAAAAAACGCGGGGAAGGCGATGGTCATGGAAAGTTATTTTACACGTTGATGCTGAGTTCCAGGGGAATCTCATTTGAGATAAGCATAGATAATAATGTAAGATTATGTCATTAGATTGCTGGAAGAATTAGAATGCTCAGACTGATACTTTTAGTCCGTCAACAACATTTTGGTTCATTGTTATGGCGTCCATGGTGTGGTGATTCCATGGTGTTAGGCATGGTCACGATGGTGTTAGGCATGGCGATGCTGCTGGCACCTTTTTACAAACAAGGAAATTTGAAAAATAATATGTTTCTAATTGTATTAAATACACAGTTTTAAAATTAAAAAGAAAAAACATAGAATATAGTGAGATATTATCAGTTTGTGAATTGGTAGAGGGAATTCTTTAGATTCCCACATTCTTTGACTGCGATGCTAAAATATTTTGAATTTATTTGATTTGAAAATATTCAGAGGGATTAAGGATTTTTTTCTCGTGATTTTGCATTTCAGAAAAGATAACCTTTACCATGGGATTTTGGAGGTCTGCTAGAAAACTAGACAAGACTGTTCTGGGCCAAAGGTTGATGTGTTTGAACGTTAACTTCCAGAGATCAAAACATGTTGTATCTTCACAGGAGTGTCTGACATATTCCAGACTCTCTGTTATTCTTCAAAGGAAATACAGAGTGGCTACAAGCAGATACTACTGCACGACAGAATCGGCACCACACAATAAAGATGCAGAGACTCAGGAGACAGAGATACTCCCAGAGGGAAGTCAGAGTAGAAAGAAGAGTATCAGTATGAAAAGTACAATTAGGAACTTCTTGATGAACCACAAACTACCTGTTGAGTTGGGCCACACTCATTTTATTACATCTTGTCATGTTGCAAAGTCTGAAGTGCCACCTGGAAAGAAAAACTTATATATTAATTATAATACAGGTATATGTGATAATGTTACATTTGAACACCTTTGAAAGTCAAGTGTTATTTAAAATTTTAAAACACCCATATTCTGATGTTTAAATTTGCTAAACCTTTTGAATAAAAAAAAAAAACCTACTTTTTTTTTTACTGGTAATGAACTTAGTGTCAGCATAAGATATTCCATTTAAGTTTTAAGAAATGTACAATTTTGAAAATTTAGGTTCATTTGTATGCACCACTTGTCAACATTTTGGAGAATGGTCAAGTCTTAGAAAGAAACTTCTGTCTGATGCAAAATCAGAAAAATTGTAAGTAAATTACCTTCAAAGTTTTGCAATGCATTTTATAAATTGTGTTCTTGTCATGTTCACTTGCTGAGTTTTCAATATAACCTGTCTACAGAAATACCACCAAGTGTTTTCAAGATGGAGATGAATTAGAATTGGTTAAGAGTTACTGTGACAATGGAGTGGAATATACAGAGAACAAAGAACCAGTGACCTCTATGTATGAGGAAGAATTTACTGCTATGACCCATCTCTATCATTGTCAGGCAAGTGTTTAATAAAATATTACAGCTCAGAATTTATCTGTACTTGAATTATGTTGAATACAAGAGAGATTATACAAAAATTCTAAATTAATAAATGATAAAATTGATATTCAAAATATATTTTTACTTGTCAGAAAAGAGAAAAATATAACTTCATAACAGTATTTCGTTTAGTGTTCTAATTCAGTCAATGAAAAATTTTGTAAAGTTTTAATAATTTCACATCAGGGGTTGAAACCGGAGACTTTTTCCCGACACAAGATCCACTACACTACAGATGATAATAATCTGCCCATTCTACACCTGCCTTATGTAAACCCAGCACAGCAGATGGTGGGAATGAGGACTATGTCCCTCCAACATACTGTGACAAAAACTCCAGAAAAAAGTGGGAAAGGGAAGAAGACAGCTGAGGAGGAAGATGGAGAAGAGGGGCAGATGTTTGATGTTGTCAAAAGCTATGAACCAAGGTTTGTAAAACAAGAAAGTGGATAAGTTTATTGAAGGGGGGAGAATGATAAAATATATTTTATGCAAAGTTGCAAGTTTAAAAAGAGTACTACAGTAGAGACCCGTTATTACGATGTTCACTTTGTCACGGTAAAATATCGTAATACCGAGGGCAACGTAATAAAAGTTCCCAATAAAATTCTGTAAAACATCGTTTGGAAAACGTGTTCTTGTATTAGGGGGTATATTTTTCTCCTTCTATCTCCTTTTCATGCTCAAATTCTTCTCCAATATGCCATATACACTTAATTCATTGATTACTTGTCTGTAAAACTTATTTTCATGATGCTATTTCTTCTTTTTCCATCATAGTAAAAGCATAGAGCACATTTTTTAATAGAAACTTCGACAATCTTCCTTTAATTGCCGCCATTTTCTGTAACATGTACTTTCACTTTCGTTTCTGTCCAGATAATGCGTTCGTGAAAATTTCAATGTCTTCGTAGTCATAGTCATTTCTATATAAACAACTACCAAAATTCTGATTATTTTATTCTCTTTGTATTCAATTAAAAGTCATTTCTAAATAAACAACAACTTTTTTTTTTTTCAAATAAAAAGGTCAAAGTAAATAGACAAGCAATCTGTCAAAATATTTTTTTTTTAATTACTGAACAGAGGTCAATTAGCAGTTCAGCAATTATCGATTTGTATTTCTGCTGACAACTGAGAGGTAGTCCAAGCCACTACCCAAGCTGTTAAAACGTTTGTAGTGGAGTTCAAAATTTGTCCAAATTATGTTTGATACCCAAGCTGTTTATTTACGCAGTTTATTTGCAAACGAAATTACACATTATGTGTACCTGTGTACAGCATACATGCATAATATTAAATATAACCTTTTATTTATTAAATTAATTTATTAAACTAAGTATGAAATAAAGAATAAAAGAATTTAAAAAAAAATTACAGCGATAGAAGAAGCTAGGTTTATGAGTAAACTTTAATTGTTTAACAATGGCTTTGGCACGTCTCCAAATCTGCTGGGCTCGCTGGAACAGACCAGGTGGGTGCAATCAAGCGTCACTAATCACCTAACTGCCCTGTTAGTTAACACTCTCTCAGAGCACAGGTGTTCCAATGTTTATTTAGCGTCTCCTTAAGTGTCTACCAGCAATCAACACTGAATAAACACGGAGTGAAAAAAATTTTTGACAGAATTTTTACATCGTATTACTGAGACCTGACGATTTTGGACAACGTAATAAACAGTTCTTTTTTGTATAGATTTGTTAAGAAATGGATTTGTGCTTTGAATTTACAACGTAATAAGCGTTCTATCGTATAAAACCGTCACCGTAATAACGGATCTCTACTGTATGAACAAAATATATTTTGTGAATCCGATATGAAAATCTTCCTTGGAAGTAAGTGTTGGAGTAGGGAAATATCTTGGAAATTTGTGTATTGTTTAAATTCAAACTTTTGGTAGGATTGGATTTCAACAACTGTTTGGTTGGCATGGTTTCAAGAAGGACTCCAGAAAATATGAGAATGTTGTAATTACTTCCTCTGAATTTGATGCCATGGCAGTCACACAGGAAACAGACATGTTAGGGCTGGCTGTTCCCAAGGGGTCAGAACTGCCGCTTGAGGTAGGTTTTATCGCAGTCTCCCACTCTACCTCTCATTACAATATTTTATTATATGTGGAAAAAATTGTAATGAAAAGTTACTGGTTGTTAAAAATTTCTTAATGATAATATGAGGTTGTGTCTTGGTTATTAAAGAAAGGAACTCTTAAGATGATGAATATTTTTAGTGTCTGCACACCTTGGAGCATGTGAAGAAAATTATTATCTGGCTTGGAGCAAAGGACAGTACCCGAGCAACATCCAAATTGTTTGCTAAGAAACTTGCTGGCAGAAATAGGTGTTCAATTGTCAGGTATTACATTTGAAAAGAGGGATTAAGTAAAATGGAATGTTACTTTATATTTGCTTATTGTTTATTCACCATGCATTAGAAGACAAACATTTACTGGTAGAATACTTGTTTTAACTTTTAATTAGACCAGAGATAGTCAAAGTATCAGGTCCTCTTGATGCTCTACAAAAAAAGAAGAAATTGAGAGACATTCTACGAGAGAGTGTTCCAGTTGACCTAGATAATATTGTCGGGTTTGAGAGTCTGACAAATGAAGTGTATGCAGAGTTTGCTAATGTGGAGCAAGTTACAGGTGTCAAGGTATGTTTATGTTTAAAGTTCAATTCGTATTTTATTAAGTTGGACTATAAACTTTTAAGGTGCATGAAAATGAATGTCAAGGTGCAGATTATGGAGATGTATGGAATACATTTTTTCTCACTAACATAAAATTTTCTGTAATATATAAGATAGGATAAAAATGAAATTCAAACAAAGATAATACCTCGGTACATTTATACCATTTCACATGTATAATGAGTTGATGCATCTTGAGGGCTCAGGTGTGACAATAAGTTGAACATCCTGTGATTTTTTTGTTCTGAGTGGAACATAAGGCCTCACACCTTGTGATATTTTTGTTGGAGTTCCTTCATAGTTGTTCATTTTGCAAATCATGTTAGCTAAATGTCTCTGGTAATACCAGTTCTTGTCAGCTGGTGTATCTTTGGACCTTGATATAAATGTTACCACAATTTACAATGCTGTAAGTTTGAAACTATGTATTTTCTATGTACTTTGATACCTACATATACACCTGATTTTCAGTGGAAGCGCTTTGCCCAGATGAATCATCTTTTACATGGACTCCGTCCTGGAGAACTGACATTGTTCAGTGGAACCACGGGTTGTGGAAAAACTACATTTCTCGGAGAGTACTCACTGGATCTGTGTGTACAGGGGGTGGGTAATATGAATACCTGCAATAATTACGATAGTTGCTTTTATATTATGAATGTGTGCTGACAGCAAAGTAAATTTCATTTCCTGACTGCAATTTAAAAAAGTGTTCAAATATATGGGTTACAATGCATTACTTTTATTACAATTGTTTATTGTGGCAATTCACTATAAGAATGCTAACTGTATGTAAGAAATACTTGTTCATGTACTTGCAGAAAATATTATCTAAAAATATCTTAAGTAAATATAAAGTGTAAACTATCACATATTGTAGTACATGTACATATACAGAGTCCAAAATCATCTGCAAGTATAGTTCTTTTTCTTCTCAGGTAAATACCCTGTGGGGAAGTTTTGAGATTAACAATGTCCGTATGGCAAAAATGCTCCTGAGGCAGTTTGCAGTGTGAGTAAACACATTTTTTTTTTTACTTTTTCAAGTCTTCAAAGATTCTGTTTGAAGCAATTCGGTTATAAAATTTCATGCTTCCCGTTTTCTACTCTTTTATTCTAATTGCCCAGTATATTGAAGAACATCATCATACATTTATTATACATGTACCATTTATTTGATTCTGACATTTTTTTTCCAGGAAGAGTTTTGATGAGTCTTTGGAGGACTATGAAGTCTGGGCAAACCGTTTCAAACAGCTGCCATTGTATTTCATGACCTTTCATGGACAGGAAGATTTTGATAAAGTCAAAGAGGTAATTGTTTCCTTTTGTGTTATTAGCTCACATAAAATGGTACTTTAACTCTTTTCCCCCTGTTGCCACCATTTGAAGCACTTGCGATTTCCCTAGAGTGTTTATCTGGCTGCCCCCTGAAGCCATTTTGACTGACTTGAAATGACTGACCATTACATTTAGAACATGCTAATTAAGTACCTAAACATCATCAAAGTGTCACATATTATATATCAATGTTTGGGGAATGGATTGAACTTTAGTATTATCATATAATTTTTTAAGAATAATTAATCTACAATTAACAATATATAGGTGAAACCAGGTAAAATGAATTTTCCACAACTAATCTTCATATTATTATCCTTTCTATGAGAGAAATTTTCTATAAAATATACCAGTAAACTTAAAATATAATACCAAACCAATTAAAAGGCTCATTATTTTTTGTTTAATTAATATTAATTAAGATAAATTAATAATGATAGGTAATTATCTTAGACTTAGCCAACTAAACTTCACAATCATGTTCAAGCAGGCATGTTTATAAATATTTTATATATTTAGTTGACCATTTCTTGCAAAAGTCTTGGGGAAAATAAATTAATACATGTTTTTATCGAAATCAATGCCCTGATGAAAAAATGCTGAAAGTAGATAATTTAGTACTCATAAAACACATGGGAAATCTGTGGCCGCCATTGTTGTTCTTGTTAAAGATTCTATGATGTTCTTCCTATAATTTTCATTGTAAAATTTTATTTCTATTAAATTCAACTTTAGAACTGATGTAAAAACATTGTGAATGCTAATACAATCCAAGGAATGTTACATAAAATGCAATATTAAGGCTGAATTTTGCTTGTGACAAGGCCCAATTTCTTCTTGTAAACAGACTGGGTGCCATTGTTTTCACACAGGTAAATCTCAAGTGAATTCACACCATGCTGTGACTTCACTAATTATAGTAACATTACCTAATGTGTAATACACATGATTGGCTATCATTTAGAGCTGAATTTATTTAGAAACAGGGGAAATCACAGAGTTAATTTAGGGTTGTTGTGTGTATGCGTCAAATGGTGGCATCAGGGAAATGGGGCATAGCGTCAAATGGTGGCATCAGGGGGTAAAGGATGTAATGCATTAGGGGGAAAAGAGTTAAGCTCTTGTTGGAACCTAGTTTCTGGAAAATTAGTTTAAAATTTGTACATGTACTTATTTAGTATGGCACAAACATAATTTTCAAATACATAGAATGGTACGAACCTACGATTTAAGTGCCACCTAAATGTCCTCCTTCTAATACTAAACAGCTTTAATATGAGCATGTTCATAGAAATCAGAAACTTTTGACTGAAATTGAAAATTTAAATACCTGCCATGCTGTATATTTATGTTTTCATTCAACATTGCTTGTGATATACATGTATTATACAATCAAAGACAGGGATATTGACTTTTAGTGGTACTTTATTTTCAGACCTTGATCCGAGCTGTGTATGCTAACGACATACAACATGTCATCCTGGATAATCTCCAGTTTATGATTGGTTCAGGTTATGACAATAACTTTAACAAGTTTGATGTCCAAGATTTCATCATTGGAGAATTAAGAAAGTTTGCCACAGACTTCAACTGCCATGTGACTCTTGTGATACACCCCAGGAAGGTAAAATATTAGTTATGTACAGTATATTTTGAGGACAATGAATTTTTCTTTTAATATGTAGATCAATAAATTGTCATCATTCATCTTCATGATATATAGTGTTACAGTAGAAAATATTTCTAAACAAGTTTATCAAACAAGAGTGATGTTTTTTTTGTTGTTTTTTATTCTTACATCAATTAAAAATGATATTTTATATATTTTTAGGAAAATATAGATCAAGAGATCACAATCAGTTCCATTTATGGAAGTGCTAAAGCTACACAGGAAGCTGATAATGTCATTATACTACAGACAAGGAGACTGTCAGCTTCAGTGGCTAAAAAGTACATACAGGTGGGTTACATTTTCATCATTTTACAGATAAAGATATTATGAACCTCAGTCACTAAAATTCAAAAACAGGTGAGTTACAATCTCACAGTTTAATTACAGACTGAAATATTGTCAACCTCAGTCGCTAAAATGTACATACACAGGAGTTGCTTAAATTTTCATCACGAAATGAAGGATAATTTGTTTTGCAAGAAAAAGTCCATACATGTTGTTCATGATCATTCTCACACCTTTTTCAAAAATTTGAATATGTATTTATTAATATACCTTGTACCTGAAGGTGGTAAAGAACCGCTTTGATGGGACCACCGGATCCATGATGCTCAAGTTTGACAAGGAATCACTGACATTCTCCGGAGTCAAGTCCAACATCAAGAAACCTAAAGACAAGAAATCCCCCGATCAACCGGAGGAGGATGTCATCGAAGAAAAGAAAACGAAATACAAAGTGTATCTTGACACAGAAGGGGTGGAGGAAAAGAGACTGCCAGATGATTTATTCAACATTTAATGATGGGGAGTGAAAAAGCTCATAATTTTTCCATTTTTGCAGGAAAATGAAGGGCAGTGAAACATGGAAATTCAATGAATATCCAAACAAATTATATTTACATATATATGGATTTTTGTCATTTAACATTGAATCTTAGTGAAATTGAATAAATGTATTGTATAGCAGGTAAAATCATCATTGGAAAAGTTTGATATTTGCTCCATTTGGAGCAAATTGCGGTCATTGAATTTGTGGAAAGGAATTATACAATTTTTTCTTCAGTTCTACAAGCATTTCCCTTGAGTAATGTGTCGATTTTGAGCCCAATTAAATAATAATAACTTGAAACACTTAACTGATCCCAATTTGAAGTCAAAAATAAAAACAGTAATATTTCAATTTATTCTTTGAATTTTAAAAAGAATCATTAACTACATGTATGTTGAATTCACAGAATTTTTATTTCCGCAAATATAAACTCAGTGAGTTAATTTACAGCTGTGTAGTATTTTGTTTTGATTTTGATTATTCTTAAAAAATCAGTCCTTGAATGTACCTTCTATTACCAGAAAAATATTCAGTGTGTTTGTTTTTACATTCCTTTTTTTTTTTTTTTTCAATTTTGAAATCTTTAAATTTAGTGTATATTTCTTTGTGACATACATGTTCAATTGTTCACATATTTTTTTTACTTGCCAATTATTAATATATATTTTGAGGGCATTTGACTTTTACATGTATTTATATTCACCCAGTGTTCATTCTATCTGAATGTGTTCTAAATAATCCTTACAAATGGATAAATGAACTGCTAGAATCATTTGACAATTGTTGTTTGGAACTTTCCTCAACTTCACAGAATAGCACTACTGCACTACTGGTTCTTTGATTGATTATATATGCATTACTTTGTATTTGAGAGATTTTGTTTTTCTTCTATTTACTTTGGTGCTAAAAGAATTTGTTAAAATATTTGAAACTTGTTAGAGTTCATAACTTCTGAAATGTATGAAGATGCTGTAAAGTATATACACTTATGAGTCCATACACATCTCAGATGGAGAGATAAACATATACATGTATTAGTATTAATTAGTAGAATATAAATTATTTGAAACAGAATTAGTATTTCTTAAAAATCCCAGTAAAAAGTTTAATACTACATGCATGTAAAACATTCCTAATACATGTGTATGCATGTTAAGATTTTGCTAATTTTCTACTTTATTTGGTGTAAATCATGTTGTGATTGGGATGTGATTAATTAAGCACTACATAAAACTTATTATAAAAGAAGACATAATAAAAAAATTATCCTACAAATTTATGCAACTGTTTCTTACGATGATTACATATATAGAGGGAGGAATGTATTAGAGTGGAGCATCACCTTAGGTCTGTGATAATAATACTGAACTGCTTGTATAGTTTGTAATACTATAGAAAGAAAATCAAAAAAATAAATAACAAAGAAATCCTCTCACAACATAGGAAGCCGATAAATATACCATCAAGCCTGACAAGGATTCCAAAGTGAGGTTTAAGACATTGTAAGATAATAGTTCTTTCATTTTATGACCTTTATAGTCATGGTTGTATGTATAAAAGATCTTTAGTTAATGGAAAACAAAATACTACAGCTTTTCAAACTAGATTAATGCTTGATAATCAACTTCCAGAGCTTAGTATTATGGCTTAGACAAAATTTTGTGTTGATAGACCATTGTGTTGGACTTGATTCTCTGATTAGATTCGTTTGATACTGAGTATATATATATTTTAGTTTAAAATATTCTTGGAGTGAAAGATTAGAATCAGTTAAAAGCCAACCCTCTTTCATTTGACAGTTTATGCAGCAAACAAGCAGAAAAATGGTAGTTATCATATTTGAATGTATTTTCAACATAAATTATGAAGGCTCAAGTGGGGCTACAAAGTTGGTAATTTTAAAACTTAAGGGACAATCTCAAGAACAGGAAAGTCGTAATCAGTCATATTTTTATGGTAATGTCCTCAAATAGTGTAGATTCGATTTTGTTCAAACGGGTGGTCAAAAAAGGTACAGTTACTCTGGTGAGCGTTATGGTCTATGGGCCTCTTTTTAAAAGCATTATTGCCAAAAAAAATTGTCACTCAACGTTAATGAATTTATTATTGAGGGAAAATAGTGGTAAACGTTATAAATCACGGTTCTTATTCAATCTTTATTTTTTAATACAAAAAATCTGTCGGATAAGGGGGAAAAATGTTTTAAGATTGAGGAGAAAAAAGGGGGGGGGGGTTAAGGGGTGTGCTTGGAATAAGGACACTTGATTGGTTTTGTTTGTCCAATCAGATTCGTCGTTACAAACACACCTTCCAAGTACGTTTTTCACAAGGACAAAATGGTAAGGTTGTTGTTTACTAACATTTTCTTCATGTTCTGTTTGATCTACATAGATTTCGACACATTAAATTTATTGAATCTCCATTTCAGACGTCGTATACAGATAAAGGACCAAAGGTAAGTGTGCTTTTTAATGCAGCATGGTAAACAAGGTGAGAAAAAAACGTGAACAACTTCATAAAAACTACGGAACCTGAGAACGTTCTACGAAATTCCGAATTGCGCTTTAAATTGTAATTCATTAATATGCACAGGCATGTTGAGAAAGATAACAAGGTTGACCTACTTATATCTTGAAAAGATTACGAAACCGGTAGCATAAAGCATCAACAATCATTGCCTTGCAATGGAAACGTTAAAAAAAAGGGGGGTTCCTACATACGTAGCTTTGTGAATAAATAAAATTTATGTTTAGGCTTTGTAAGTGATAAGAAAGTTGTCAATTTCAGCGTGTTAAGCCAGCAAAGATCAAATCTTTGCCATATGACTCCACTCCTATCGGCTGTAGGAAAATAGGTTAAAAAGTTTGTGCGTTCAATCAAAATTATGACTAATGTTATAATCCATCAAAATTATTTAGGGAAAAGGGTATCATTTTTAGCTCTACTGGTCAGAGACCAGAAGAGCTTATGCGATAGTAATGCAAGGCCGTAACTACCATTGAGGCAAGTGAGGCAAATGCCTCACTAAATTTTTGTAATTTTCTGAAAAGTGAAATTTTTTTACATTGAATGAATTATGTGTGTCTTCGTGCTAAATTGATATTTTCAACTTTTCTTTACATTTCTTTAAATCGTTCAACTCACCAGTTGCCTCGATCATTTTCATTTAGAATGTAACGTAATATATTTCAATATGTTTGTTTTGTAAATTGTTAGATTAATTAACATCCCTTCTAAGAATTTCTCATTCATATTAAGACATGCACCACTACTAGCCGATGGAGAGCAGCAAGTTTTAAATCTGTTCTAGCTTTCAGGTTTACTGAAGATGATTGATCACTTATTCAGTTATTGTGACATAGGACCTCGGTTTGTACAGTCTCATCCAAAGGACCGGTCTCTACATCCCGCAGTGGGATTTGAACCCGCGATGTAAGGATCAACTCCTTAGTCTGCGACTCTTGAGCATACGCTCTAACGACTGCGCAATGCGGGCGACAATTCAAAACGTAAAATCTTTCTAAGATTAAATGTTTGATTTAATATATTAGAAAATCAAAGGGTATACCCAGGTTTCATGATCCCCATCCCCTGGAAACCCCTATCACTGGCCGTCTGGGGTCTGGGAATGCCCAACACCCTTGCCTCACTAAAAATCTGAGCCTAGTTACGGCCTTGTAATGCGTCCGGCTCCATCCGAATGCCTGTCTGTAAACAATTTTTCAAAATGCTACTCCTCCTATAGTAACGTATCGGTTTTTGATTTCGATGAACGGTGTTGCAGTGGTTAGTAAAAATAGAAATTTCTGTGAAATACATTCAAAATGCTACTCCTGTCGCCATGGTTACTAAAAATATAAATTTCTGTGAGATACTTTCAAAATGCTACTTCTCTTACAGTTTTGGTCTCATTTCAATATAACTTGGCACACAAGTAGACTTTACTAAGATACATAATTCTTTTTATTGGTTTTTGATTTAGATAAATGATGTTGCCCTGGTTTCTAAAAATAGAAATTTTTGTGAAATACTTTCAAAATACTACTCCTCCTACAGTTTTGGTCTGATTTCAATATAACTTGGCACACAAGTAGACGACACAAAGATACATATTTCTGTGTATCGGATTTTGATGAACGGTGTTGCCATGGTTACTAAAATTGAAAATATTGTAAGTTTATTAAAATCTACTCCTACAGCTGTAGTCTTATTGCAGTATCTTGACACAAAAAGAGCTCAATCAAGCATCATTATTCTATTTACTGCTGTTGTAAAGTTTCAAATCCCAACTGCTACTTTTGTCTTCATTTGTTATAAGTACAAACCAGTAGAGCTTCAGTCTCGACAGAGACTTCTGGTTAAATATCTATCGGGATATAAATACAGGTTGGTCATGTGATTAAATTCTGTAAGGTCTGTAGAGCTTTATTGTAAATTTGATTATATATACCATTGTGCACTGGTACATAATTTATAACCCGATAGATGTTTTAAATAATACCTTTAGTATACACATGTATTAAATTTTACATTTGTGAGTGATTTAAAATACATTTCTGTGTGAGTTTTTTCGCTAACTTATGTATTTTCTGAATTTCAACACCACACAAGTTTTATCTATTGAAAGTATTTCGGTCACCCTTTATGACGTCACTGAGAAATTGTGTTGGATGCTTATGACATAAGAAATCTGTATTTATAAGTGGTAGTTATGCATTGCTTAAACTGTGTAATGTAGGAGAAAACATTTGCAAATGTGAATACACCGGTACACTGTATATACTTAAGTATACAATGTGTTTTTGTTTACTTGATAATTGACATTTCTATAATCTTTCATTGTATAATATTGTTATGTTTAAGATTAGATTTCCTCGTAGTGAGGTGAAATTGAATTTGTAACTAATAACTCCAAATTTATTTCAGCCCGATTCAGGACGGTTTGTCTGCTTTGATCATATTACTTTCTGGGTTGGAAATGCAAAGCAGGTGAGAATTATTTTTTTAAGGCCACAGTTATTTTATCTTTAGGATTACGGATCCGCAGACCCGATTTTTTCAGGTTTTAGAAAATAAAAATAATGGATTTTATCAGCCCCTTGTTGTTAATTCAGAGTTATTTTATCATCTTTTTAATTAAATAATGTTGTTTTGAGTATGGTTAACAATTGTCTACTGTCCCCATGTATGACATGCCACTAGTTCCCCCATTGTTGAATTAGATATATGAACACAACATATCAGTAAATGTACTGGAAATGTAAACAACTATTGATAATGTTTACAATAATAAAATGTCCTCTTTTTTTTTTTTTATGACCATGAATTTATTGTTGTATACAGTCAATATGTGCTGCTGTCATTTAGAAATGAAAATATTTTAATGCATTTGACAGTCAGAGTTAGGTAAAATTGAAGGTTTGTGAATCATTCATTGCTGCAAGAAGCTATTTATATACAATTGTATTCAGACACACATTTGATTCAGTTAGAAAAAATAAGACAAAAGGTTACAAGATAAATCTCAAAGGATGCTTACCTAGAAAATTTTACCTATAAAGAATTTCTAAATGTTAAGGTCATGATTATAGTAAGAGATTTTTAAATTCATTGAAATTCAGTGAAAGTTATTTCATTTTGCAAGTAGATTTAATACTTCATTTTATATATCCCTCTGTTAACATCACTGTCAAGGCATAAGATTTTATAACTGAATGGAATTGGTCAATTAATATAAAATAATTATGTTTTGATATAAGGTGTTTATTTGTTTCAATCAAAGAAAGCAAATTTATAAAACCGAGTTTTCAGTGAATGCCTGTTGCAAAGGATTAAACTTAAAACAAATTTTGTCTCGTATCTTGTAATGTAGGAAAACATTACTTGCAAGGACTTTTTAAAAAAAAATCTTTGACTTATTGATGTATTTGGAGTTGTTAATGTAAGACTGTTCTATTTGACAGGCAGCCTCGTACTACTGTACCCGTGTGGGATTTGAACCGTTTGCCTATAAAGGTCTGGAGACAGGAAGCAGACAAGTGGTGGCTCATGTCGTCAAACAAAACAAGATGATCTACAACTTCCAGTCCTCCTTAGAGCCCAACAATCCTAAAGGTTTGTGTTATATGAAAGACTGACAAAAATGTACTTAGAATGAAATTTATTTCAATGATCAGTGGTTTACATACTCTGGCCACACAGAATTTTTAGAATTCTAACTGGACAATTTATTTTTGAATGAAATTTGTTTTTGCTATGAAAATAAATGTTTATTTTCTCCTCCCTCTTTATATTACTGTTTGGTTTCCATTTTGTAGAGATGGGTGAACACATTGTGAAGCATGGTGACGGGGTCAAGGACATTGCATTTGAGGTGGAGGACCTACAAGCCATATTCAAGGTCAGTTTTTGTCCCCACTTTCTCAAAGGGGGGGATTTTAATGATGATCTGTTTGTCTGTCTGTATTTTTGTCTGTTTGTAACATTTTCATTTCTTTGCGATATCTAGAGAAGTTTTTGAGCTTTTGCAATGAAATTTTACTCCCTATGTGGTGTCATTCAGCATCAGCAGCATGCACCATGCTTATCCCAAATGCATGTAATAGCGCTCAAGTCATTCTTTCTTTAATATACACATGTACGTGGTCTTTTTTTTTTATCTCCATAAACATGTAATAATAAAAACTTTAATATTTATTTTAAAGATTTTACTTGTCATGATTTGAACAGAGAGCTGTTACTAAAGGAGCCATTGTTGTAAAGGAACCTTGGGAAGAGTCAGATGACAATGGCACAGTCAAAATGGCTGTCATCAAAACGTACGGGGACACAACACATACACTGATTGACAGGTCTGGCTACAAAGGCTTGTTCTTACCGGGATACAGGGCTACCACTTACAAGGATCCACTTGTTGAATTGCTGTAAGTAAAACTCTTAATATATTTGTAACACTTCTTTCACAGTTTTGTGTTGACTTGCTTTGGTGGTGCTAGAATCAGGTAGCAAGTGCTTGTTTAGGAATTTCCAAGTCCAACTTCTGCATCCCAAACACAGAGAGGGCTTCAAGATGATGCAATTTTCTGTAGTTTTCATTGTATAGATAGACTGCATATTTTATAGTACTATGAAAATATTTATGAACACATTTAACTTAAAATATTTAGCTGATTATCATATACATTTATTTTATTGGGTACCTAGGATTTAGAGTTCTAATCCTTGTACAGTTAGCTTCATATTCTATGTAAAAATTACAGACACAGTAAAAATACACATTACTGTACCTCATTTAGATTTGCTGGATGGGCAATCTGAATGTCAGTATTGTGTGAATGATTGTTCATTTCAGAGAATCTCACATTTTTTGTTTAATACTGAAGTCGGAGACACTTAAATAGGTTTTTAGGAATTATTGTAATGCAGTTAAAGCATGGCACATTTAAAGAAAAAACATCTAGAGTAAAAAATAATCTGTAATGTACATAATATTGGTAATTGCAGACCTAAACCAGAACTTCAGTTTGTGGATCACATTGTGGGAAACCAACCTGACAATGAGATGACTGACATTGCGGACTGGTATGTAGGAACTTATTTCAGCAGTGATTCATTATCTCTAAGAATTAAAAATATACATGTAACTAAGACAAAATTTAAAACAATAAAACAAAATTTAAGATAAAAAGGCTCAATATATTAATGATAATTTTAATTTTACTTTCTTTTATTTCATGTTTATTCAGACATAATCCAGAATAATTTATTGTAAATTGCCACATATGGTTTCAGAAGTATTCTGTTGCTATATTTTATAGGTATGAGAAGAACCTGATGTTTCACCGTTTCTGGTCTGTTGATGACTCACAAATCCACACTGAGTACTCTGCTCTCCGATCCATAGTCGTCACGAACTACGAAGAAACCATCAAAATGCCAATCAATGAACCAGCACCAGGCAAACGGAAAAGTCAGATTCAGGTTATTATAAAGTGGAAAACATTGCAGATTATATATTGAAGATTATTGCAAAATACATACAGATGAACAATTAACATTAAGAAGTCTTGAGCAGTATGTTATTTTTAAATAGTTTGTTCCATGAAAATATAAATTTTTAATGAAAATAATTTGTATTGATTTCCAGGAATTTGTTGATTATTATGGAGGAGCAGGTGTCCAGCATATTGCAATGAACACAGATGATATCATCAAATCAGTAAATATCACACAACTCAAATGTGCAGGATAAAAAAAAAAACAAATTTTAAAATTTTTAATCTGGTTTAAAAGGTAAAACTATGTAATTTTTTCTTACTTATTTTTATTGCATATATAGGTTTCTATTCTTCGTGAAAGAGGTTTACAGTTTTTGGAAATCCCCAAAACTTACTACAAAAACTTGAGAGAGAGACTAAAGAAATCAAAAGTGAAAATAGCAGAGGATATGGACAGAGTGAGTATGAAGCATATTCCCATTTCCTTGTATGATAAATAAACATTTGCTTAAAATTTCAGTTTAGTTTATGCATTTTTTTTTTCAATAAAATTGCTTCATGCACGTCTTTTTGGACAACCCTCCTACTTCACTTAACTGGTGAGAGATGCTTAATATTTTAAAGACTGTGTTGAGATTTTGGGACTCCCAGATAAAATTCAGAGGGTTACAAGAATGGAAGTAGGAACCCCACCCCCCAAATCAAATAAATTTTAATTGTGATATCTCTTATTATTATATATACAAGTACCTTATTAAACTGCAGTAATTTATTGGAACAGAAACAAATTAATTTCTGTTTCCATATAAAATAACATTCATGCATTTTCTTCAGATTCAGAAGTTGAACATTTTGATAGACTATGACGACAATGGATACCTACTGCAGATCTTCACCAAAATCATGCAGGACAGACCTACACTTTTCCTGGAGGTCATTCAGAGACACAATCACCAGGTCAGTGTTTGACCTCAGGTCACCTCAAGGTCAATCAAATGACCTTAGATAATTTTTAATTTAATTTATCAAAGAACTTTCTTGTATGCTCAAGTATTTTATCATTTCTAGTATACTGTATGATAAATTGTGTTCATTAACAGAAAATTTCAATGTCAAAAAACTGTATTCTTATTTTCTTATATTTGGCATTTAGGGGTTCGGAGCTGGAAATTTCAAGTCCCTGTTTGAGGCCATTGAGTTGGACCAAGCCGAGCGTGGCAATCTGTGAAGGATGGGACATTGTGTGATGTTTACTGGGGTTTATGTAGGGACCAGATCATAGTGATACATCTAATCAGTATTCTATGCCTTATTCCTAATGCCTTCTCTATAGAATCTCCTCATATATGTATATAAACATTTATACTCCAGTGGTAAATACTCTTTGTTTTTGTCCATTTTCTCTGAAATGACTTCATATTTGTTTTATATTGTTTGATATATGGAGGTTGGGACTGACCAAAATAGTGTTTTTGTCACCAATAATGATTTTAGTTCTTTATATTATAAGAAGGACCTTGAAATCTCATTTTTTCCATCTTATTTTTTTATGTTGAAAAAAAAATCCTAGTCAATCTTGAAGTTGCCATGTTGGATTATTTTATTAGAACCAGACTTACCTGTTGATTAAATTGATATTAACACTTTCTCTTTCCTTGTATGCAGAAAATTAACAATTTTATGTGCATTTGAAAGTTAGATGTATTAAGTGATAAGAGAGTCTTTTGCATAAATATCTTCCTCTGACCCAACCCCTTTATTCAGGTTTTTGACTAAAAACTTTACTCTTTCAAGGTATCAACACTATCAAGGTATCAACACTATCAAGGTATCACAAAATAACCCACTCTTGTAATGTTCTTACTTTTGATATATCTCATAGTCATAAAACACATGAAAATTCACATCTTCAGTGGTACATGACATATTCTGCACAAGCACAATACAGTTTATGATTGTTCATTTGTAAATGTTTTTGATTTGAATACTGTAATCTACTATCCCCAAACCATCCCTAGTCAAAAAAATCTGGTTTAAATACATTAGAGGTTGCCTCATTTTTATCATGTTATACTAATTCTTATTTTTTGTTGACATTTTGATACAGTTATTTCTCATTATCTTGAACCCAATGTGATTGAGGGAAAAAAATCCTGAGATATATGAGAATTTGAGACAAAAAGGGTTCAATAGTTAAAGAGTAAGTGGTTGGTACTTCACAATCACTTTGACATGCCAATGTCTCTAATACACATATCTCTATTAAAAAGATATCAGTGTTTTTAAAAGATATTGCAACTCAGAATAGTAATATATATATTTTTACGAATTAAATATGTCATTCCTGTGAAATTCTGATATATTTTTCAATGTAGGCTGCATGAAATTGTAAAATTTTGCTAGTTATTTTTTTTCCCATTTTATACAAAGACTTCACAAAATGGTCAAGTGTGTCACATTTTGTGAGTGTTGTGATAGAGTTATACCTTGTGTTGAATTTTACCGGTAAAAACTGGTTGTCATCTTTAAAATACATCTTCTTTTGGTGGTGACCAGTTCAGTATCTTTTGTTGTCATTAAGCTGTAAATACTGATGCATTATGGGATTGCTTTATCATTATGTAGCATTTGGTTTTTTTGAGATTCAAGTACTGTAATACTTTGATAATTTTCGTTAAATCTCTCACAGTGAAAGATATAAGTCAGCATTTCCAAAACAGGATTTAAATGGGTAATTCAATTAATTTTTTTTTTATCTAGTTTAAAACTATCTTATTGCATCTTAGTTTGAAGTAATAATAAAAACACCAAATTTTCAATTTATTTCTTATCATTTTCTTTTAAAGATTTTGAAGAATATTCACAAATTAATATGATTTTAATGAATTTGAAGCTATTAGGCATTCTGCAGACCATATTCATCCATCTCCTTTTACAAAATAATAGAGTTATGTATCTTTGTAAAGTAAACTAAGTTCAACACCTATTCAGAGATTTCATTTCGTTGTGGAGATATGCTTAAATAAATATGTAGGGGCCACCCCTACAAATCCTGAATGGGGGCATTTTACAAAAATTCAAAGTATGCATATTGTTCAAAACATTATTCTGCCCATCTTTTGTTCAACATTGCTTATCAAAATTTTCCCCCTTTTCGAGATATGAAGCGTCAATGATTTAGCATTCTGGCCCCTTGTGGCCCCTAATTACGTAATATATGAGCAACTGCTTAAAATATATTGTTGCAAATTATTAAGATGAACATCTTTGCTTCTGTAATGTATCACAAAATATTGATCATTAAAGAGATAAAGATGAAAGATTTCTGGCCCCTCTGAGCCCCTAATTTGAGGAGTCAGCCCCTTTTTCTTGATATCAAACGAAAGGTCTTGTGATTTCAAAGACTTTTTGTTCAACACCTATTCAGAGATTTCTTTTCGTTGTGGAGATATGCTTAAAATAAATATTTAGGGGCCACCCCTACAAGTCCTTAATGGGGCCATTTTACAAAAATTCAAAGAATGCATATTGTTTAAAACATTATTCTGACCATCTTTTGTTCAATATTGCTTATCAAAATTTTCCCCTTTTTCGAGATATTAAGCGTCAAAGATTTAACATTCTGGCCCCTTGTGACCCCTTATTACGTAACGTATGATCAAATTTTTATAATATATTGTTGCAAATTGGTAATATGAACATCTTTGCTTTTATAATGTATCACAAAATATTGATCATCAAAGAGTTAAAGGTGAAAGACTTCTGGCCTCTCTGAGCCCGTAATTTGAGGAGTCAGTCCCTTTTTCTTGATTTCAAACGAAAGATCTTGTGATTTCAAAGACTTTTTGTTCAACACCTATTCAGAGATTTCTTTTCGTTGTGGAGATATGCTTAATATAAATATTTAGGGGCCACCCCTACAAGTCCTTAATGGGGCCATTTTACAAAAATTCAAAGTATGCATATTGTTTAAAACATTATTCTGACCATCTTTTGTTCACTATTGTTTATCAAAATTTTCCCCCTTTTCGAGGTATAAAGTGTCAAAGATTTAGCATTCTGGCCCCTTGTGGCCCCTAATTACGTTATATATGAGCAAATGCTTAAAGTATATTGTTGCAAATTATTAAGATGAATATCTTTGCTTCTGTAATGTATCACAAAATATTGACCATGAAAGAGTTAAAGATGAAAAACTTTTGGCCCCTCAGAGACCCTTATTTGAGAAGTCAGCCCCTTTTTCTTGATATCATATGAAAGCTTTTATTATTTTGCACAAATTTTCTTCAATATGTTTTAACAAAATATGAATAGATAACAAGATATGAAACAAAACGTGTCAAAATTTGTGAGATGTTTCTGAGACATTTTTTCGGGCCCTACCCAGCTCCGGCGCTTTTTGTGCTAGAAAGTTTTAAACACCCATTTGCACATCTGCAAACCTTCCTCTAACTTCACTGAAAATCTTGACTTAATATCTTAAGCCGTTTAGGAGGAGTTTCCCGGACAAGCAGACCCTCTGAAAAATCAGGAAATCCTTAATATCTTGAGATAAGAAGTGACGTCATCAATCAAAAAAATTTCCAATAAGGTTCAGATCAATACCTACCAGATCTGAAAGTTTCATGAAAATTGGACAAGTTGTTTCGGAGAACTCGCGTGCACAAAATTGGTTGGAATAATAAAAGGGAAAAAGAAACCGAACGAAAACAATAAGGTCTTCCGTTGGACACGGAAGACCTTAATTACACCATTAAAAGTAAACGCGTTACAAAGTTATCAAATTATAATTATTTATTACCCTGCAAGGAAAGAAAAATAGCTAGATTGATAAACACACGTGGCGTAAAGAAAACAAGGTAGGCCGTTTGAGATACTACTCGCTTTTGACGTGGATGGCAAGCGTCTTACTCTTATTAATGGTACTTATCTTTTAATGTATTCAGTATCAACCATCTTCTCTGTTATGACGCATATTGACCTAGGTTATATTAATAATTGTTGTTAAAATGCAACATGCCTCGTTGTCTGTGATTTCCCGTGGACGTGTTTCTATATATAGGCCTATTGTTTACGCACTTCCTTCATCAATATTCATGAAAAGACTGAATTCTTAATTCCTAGATATGTTTATAATTGTTTTGTTATTACAACGACATCTATAGTACAATTTTGTGGAAAGTATTATTTTTCATTACACTTCATATTTTAAATCATTAATCATTTTGTTTCACACAAAATTTGGCGTTCATATAGCCTATATGACTTTAAGTACATGTAATACAGGTCAATATCATTGGTTGTTCGGAAAAAATTGGATTGAAGATTGTAAAAGTAAAGCTAAGATTAAGAAATTCAATCTTTATGATTTTGTAGTATTCGTATAATTATTTTACCGTCTTGAAGATTGTTTGTATTACAGTAATCGGTCCAAAAATGTCATTCGACGCACCCTCTCTGTAGAAATTCGTCAGCAACAACCACAACGTTTTTCTTGCGTAAAAATTAAACACAATATTGTTGTTTTGTAGTAGAATTAATTGAAGATACAATTTCAGGTAATTTTATATTCAAACTATACCAAAATTGTGTCAGATGAGAGAAAAACATGAAACTTACAACCCTGTGAAATTAATCCCCATATACAGCATTCACAGTGTGCTCATCTAAACCTAAACTGGTTTTCTTAGTTAATTCACTCAAGAAGTACGAGGGACGTTCAATAAATAATGTCATCGGGGCTCGGAAAGAAGCAAAAGGCGCTTTTTAATGATTGAGTCTTCATGATTTTACTTGTTAATCTCTTTTGTTTAAAATAGATGTCCGTTAAAGTTTTTATTTAATTTCTGATTGTATTTAGAACACATTTTTTGGTAAGACCCTTAGTATACTGGAAAATAGCAGATCCAATGATTTCCTAGACTTGTTTTTTTCTTTCTGAAAGGTGGTTTTTCAAGTTTGGAAATAAAAACAAGTCAAAAGATAAAAGATCTAGCGAGTATTGTTAAAGTGAAAAAATATTTACTTTCTTTTTATCCCGACAACCCCTTTACTCTTCAGGGGTGCAAGGTTTGGACGCTGTCATGAAAAATTAAATGAAGTGTATGCCTGATTCTAGGTCCTTCCTATAATAAACCTTTCGATTTTTTTGCAAAAAAATTGCTTTCTAGACTCCTCCAAAAATTAAACTGTCTCCCCGAATACGAAATTGAACAACAGTACCACTAATATTTAAGAAAATGGCATATAAATCTGTCTTTGTGTTCTTGTATACCTTTGCTTTTGTCGGACCATTGCTGTTTTTTATCAAGTACATCTTATGGTAAATTATGTATTGAGTGTTTTAAGCAATAGATTCATGTCCCATTATCTGTTTGAATATGAAACAAACTTTGAAAACTTCAGTAACTGATATTTTAAAATAATTGTTAAGACATCCCTACACGCTGTCGTTTTCACTCATTTTTCAAAATATAGGGTGATCTTTGAGTGCCAAGCTTTTTTACCGTCAAACGTTTCTTAAAAACATTGTAAACTACTCCCGATATGATGTATATCAGATTTGCTATGTGTCTTAAAGTCAGTCATACATCATCAGATATTATTTGTAGAAATTGGGCAAATAGTACATAAGTTGTTATAATTTTGGTTGGTAAGAACGGTACCCATTTTTGATGCCCATTATATAATTTTTTATCATTAAAATCAACTTGCTTATTTGTCTATAAAACAGGCATTGGTTGATGTAAATGTCACAAATTTCAGTGAAATTTTTTTTTGGGATTTTTAACACGTTTTACAGCAGCTTTAATGAAGTTTTTATTTTCACTCTTGTTTACTCATTCTTTACCATTCATTTATAATGCAGTGTCTCGAACAGCCCTTGTTTCCCAGCTTCTCAAGAAGAAACTATGTGATGAAAAAGGATCACATAAACTGTTATCAATTCATTAAAGATTCAATAATGAGAGAAAGTCTAGCTTAATGTCATATGATTTCTATGTTGTATGTCATCGAGCTAATGACATTATTTATTGAACGTCCCTCGTATCTGTTACTGTTAACAAATTAACTGTTGTACAGCCAAAAACTGCAAGAACTTTGACTGCAATTCCACAGAGAAAGAAACATCACCAAGAATGATTTTTTCATGAATTGTTTTCAGATGAGTTAAAAAATTGTCACTGAATCAAAGTGCAATTTCCTGCACTTTCTGGAAGAACATGCTATATAAAATGTTTGATTTTTTTAGCTAAATAAAGATACCTCAGGTAAGTAAATAATTCAAGCTACGTATCGAAATCTAGTGATTGTACCAGACATGCCTAATATGATGCATATAACTAAACGCCATTATTTTCTTTTAGAGATAATTCGAACTAGATATTTCATTATAGTACATTTTCGACATATACAAAAAAAAAAATCAACATATTTCACACCCAGTAAACACAGTTTATTTGTACATAAATAAATTACTCGAACCATGTTACCAACACTCCTCCATCATCGTTCACCAATGAAATGTCACATCCATCACTTGAATGTTTAACCAATCAGATTAAAGCACTGTCCAGCTAGAATCACCAGTTATGTCACATCCATCACTTGAATGTTTATCCAATCAGATTAAAGCATTGTCCAGCTAGAATCACCAATGAAATATCACATCCATCACTTGAATGTTTAACCAATCAGATTAAAGCACTGTCCAGCTAGAATCACCAGTTATGTCACATCCATCACTTGAATGTTTATCCAATCAGATTAAAGCACTGTCCAGCTAGAATCACCAGTGAAATGTCACATCCATCACTTGAATGTTTATCCAATCAGATTAAAGCACTCTCCAGCTAGAATCACCACTGTTATGTCACATCCATCACTTGAATGTTTATCCAATCAGATTAAAGCACTCTCCAGCTAGAATCACCAATGAAATGTCACATCCATCACTTGAATGTTTAACCAATCAGATTAAAGCACTGTCCAGCTAGAATTACCACAAATGGAAAGTGGAAAGTCTGCAGGCTGGTCACAACCTAGGAGTGTAAAAATCTCTACAAGCAAGTTTTCATGTACACTCCAAAAACAGCAGATGTGCAGGTAAACTTCACTGCTGTGTACCACTCTGCAGTCTATTGGTCCTTGTGTAGCAGCGGGGATTCTATTGGATATCCCGGCAGTTAGAGGTCTGAAATAGTTTGTGAAGGACCAAATTATCAAGTTAATGGAAGACTTATTCAGAAAGTCTGAATCAGTGAATAAGGCAAATTAATAATCAAATCCAAAAATAACTGCACTACATATACATTGTATTAGAAAATTTAAAAGAAGAAGACATAAAGTTGCACATGCACTCACTGAATATTGGGTACATCTGAGCTTTCATATTGTGAATCTGTTGGAGCCTTCGTTGTGAAGGGCATAATAGATATCTTCATCTAAAACAACAACAAAATTATAAAAGAAACGATCAGTATGTTTGTACATGATAATTTAATTGCATAAAAAGTTAAGTTGTTAATTGTAAATAGTGGGGCATAGATGCCATATAGGCAATTTACATGTCTCTATGAAATTTTAATCTAATACACATTAGATAACAGGTATTAATTGCTAGCTAATTTAAATGGCAATACATTTTTTCAATTGCCCCCATGGGGATGATTTATACAATATATCATTTTGGAAGTAAAATATGACATTTTCTTAAAACAGGAAGTCTAAATATCTTCTTCTTTTCTTACTACTATGAAATCACAAATTTTCTTGGGGGTTTAATTTTCATCATTTTCGAGGTATGAAGAGACCCACGAATTCATGTCCACCACGAAATGTAAAATGTTACATACATGACTACTCAACAATTCTTTATCCACAAATTCAAATCCCAACGAACCAAGAGTTTTTACTAAAAACCACAAAAATTTGACCCCACAAAAATATTTGATTTTACAGTACATGTTTATTAAAATATCAAAAAACTATCCTGATATTTTTTTTTACCTGTCTGATGAACACAGCAAAGGTTACAGAGGTGATTGGTAGAAATACTGGTATACAGGTGTTCAAACTCTCTGCTGTTGGTCTTGCAGATGTATATCCACCATAGTTCAAATTTTGAACAGGGGAGATTACTCCTAAGATCATAAAATGATAAATAATGCTTGGACATAAACTTGAGATCAGAGAAGAAAAGAATATGCCTCAATCATGTGGCTTTTAAGAGAGAAAATTTGGGAATAATTTACATACACCTACCTCAAAATACCATTTGGATCCAAGTTGACACTTTACAGATGAAACACCATCATGAAAGTTGAAAAAAGAAATTAAAAAGAAATATAATTATCAAAAAAAATTGTCAGTTTACCTGTAATTTGCCCTACAATTGATAAAGATAATTTTGCTTGGCTTTTTCTTTAAATTAGACATCAAAAGCAATATTTAAATAATTTCAATTTGACATGTTATATTTACATACATGCAGTACTACTCGTCCATCACTGTAGAGCTCAGGATCTGTTGCTGAAGAAATGGACAGTCGGTGTCTGAAAAACTTGATACTGTAAACCAACTTTTATTTGTGTGTGAGAAATTTTCGCGAGGTTCCTCATCGGGAATATTTCTAGCCGCAAACTGGTACTTAAAGTCTCTGTGTTTATTACCATCAGATTCAAAAAGCTAGGCTTGATCATGAAAATTACTAGTAGCAACTAGGTAACCCCCTGATAAATCGTGAAATAAGGTCGTCACAAATAAAAGTTGGTTTACAGTATACATGTATTAAATTGCAGCCTCTTGACCCCATGATTACTAAAGGTCATTTGAGGATTTTTTCATAGATATTGGTTGGACAACCAAAGTGTAAATCTTAAAGTGACCTTGACCTTTACATCTATTTTTTTTCCTCTACATTGTAAGCAATGACAGTTCTAAAGGGGATTGGAAAAAACACAATAGTGCCTTGTCGAGTTATCACAAGTTCGAATCTCACCGTGGGACTTGGAAATGAGTTGTTCTAATTTTGAAGTATAACCAGAGATTCTGCATCTCATTCAGCGTTGCAAACCAAAGCCAAAATGTACGATTCTGTCTCATTCTGGCCAAGGTTATATGAGTAGAGAATATTTCGTAGCTCATTAAATTATTGACCAATATGCAAGTATAGCATACTCGGAAAATGAAATTTGACATGACCTTTCAATACCCAATCACAGTTTATGAACTTATGCATTAGCAACCACGGGTAGAAGAGAGCTACAGCTGTATAAGCGGACTCCGAACAATGCATGGCTTGAGATAATGGGTTGCACTGTTTATCTACCAGTGTGTTACTTGATGACCTGCCAGTCAGACATGCACCGTCATTAAAATATGCTGTTCCAATTATGGCCTTTTTTACTTTAAATTATTATATTTATGCACCCGGATCAATAGATTGTTTTTGTCCTCTCTGTCTGTCTCTTTGACTGTCTGCTGTCAACTTTAACCTTCACCATAACATTTGAACCATGAAAGATAGAGACTTCATATTTGGTACATACTCCACTAATTAAGTTCTTTCAAATGACTTCAAGGTCAATGACCTTGTTACCTTGACTTGTGACCTATATGTTAAAAATAGCTTTTTCGAAGTTAAACCATAACCTTTGAACCATAGGGGATAGAGACTTAATATTTGGTATGCATTCTCTACTAATTAAGTTATTTCAAATGACAACAAGGTCAATGAGCTTGTGACCTTGACCTATATGCTATTAATAGCTTTTTCAAACTTTGCCGTCACCGGGTGCATAGTGTTTCACAAACATATCTTGTTTCAAGACTATTTTTCTACAATTGTGGGATCATATGCAAGAAGTTTGAATCACAAAATAATCTTTTTGTTCAAAGCAGGTGTGTTCAACATGCTAGTTAACCATCTTAATCATCATCGAATATAACTGAAAGTAGATGTTTAACAGGGACGTAAGATATATACCACTAGACATTCTAATTATGTCACAGATAGAAACCTGCCCCCTGTACTTCTATTGTCATCTTGTATATAGAGTCCCCATCAATTTTAAGGGAATCACCCCTGTGTAACACTTACTTTATTATTGTTCAGAAACCTTATTTTTTGAGGCTCCCAAGATCAACACCTTAAATTAACTATCTAACAGACCTTATCTATAAAGTTCAGCAATTGAAAATGCTTCTTTTTGACCCTGAAGCCTTCCCACTAGGCTATGTTATCAACTTGCTCATATCTGGTAACATTATATACTAGGACACCCTCCCTTAAGGTGTATTGAACAGTTTAAGAGCAAAATATACCTTGCGATAGGCATTTTAACAAAATACTTTCTTTTTTTAAACTTAATTGCTACCCAGTACTTTTCAATAATTTTTTCCTTGTTTCTAAAAGATATCGATATTTGGATTCAACATCAGTACATCTCCAAAGTTGGCCTCATCTGTTTTTATCATGTCAATAAATACATCTTTTACTAAGGTCATTTCAAAATGAACTTTTTCGTCTTACTCTTACCGGTAATTTATTGCTCTCTATCGATCAAGAAGAAATGAAGGATTAGTTATTATTTGGTTTCAAAACCGATAAATGTACATGTATAATTTTTTTTGCAAATCTTGATAGATGCACCTCTTCCTTAACCCTTTTAATCATGTCAACAAGTGTTCCTTCCACAGGCATTTAAACAAAATACCTTTCCATCTGTATTAATCATTATCAATAAGAGTTCCTTTTATTTAATGCATTTTAACAACTTTTTCACTTATTCTTGTTCCCTTTCAATCAAGAAAAATTAAATGATTTTCTCTCCATTCCAAACTTAAATATTGGTTACAAAATCTGTATAAACTATTCTCAATTAACCTCAAAGGTACCATTTGCCTTAACCCTCTGGCATTATGTATATTAGTGTTCCTTCCATAGGCCTTCCAACAAAAACACTCTAATTCTTACACTAGCTCAATTTCAATCAAGAAATAATTTTATTTTCTCATTTTACAGTGGATATCTGGTTTTAATATCATTCTGTTCAATTTATTTCTCAAATCTCCCAAAAGTATCCGTTTCATAATAACACTCTTACCCCAATAAGTCTTCATTCGGTAACGGAAGAGGAGAAATATATGCAGCGGACCAGACCAGGATTCAAACCCGGGCCCCCCGAAGCTACACCAACTGCTTCTCCTCAGGGCAATACCTGATATTCTCTTCTTTCCAGTGTTCATTTGGTTTCAAATTATCTGTACAAACTTTTCTTAAGTCTCCAAAGTTGACCTCTATTTCAATATTGTTCTTCAGGACAATAAGTTTTTATCCAGAGGTATCTTATCAATTGAACATAGGTAATCAGAGATTATACATTCCAAAAATGAAAATATTTAAGCAATTTTCATCTGAATTACTTTGAAATAGACGTACATAAAAAATTTAAACTAGTTCTTCTTCATGAAAATGTAATTAAAATCCAGCATCTGAAGCAAATTTGAGAGTTTTCATCTCTTGATGCAACTTTTGTGCAAGTTTGGATTATACAATGTTAAATAAGCCTTATAGTTTTTTTGGTAATAGACCTGCACCCATAACTTTTACCTGGTCTATTATCGGAAAAATGTATGTCGAATTCAGAATCCGAAGCAAGTCCATTAGTGTGCATCCTAAGATGTATCGTCCATGCAAGTTTGCTCATTATAGGGCTCATAGTTTATTGGAAATGAAACATGCATCAAAAACTAACATTAAATTTCACTCATCCACAAAAAGTAGGTCAGATTCAGCATCCCAAGCAAGCCTGGTAGTATGCATCCTTAGATGTATCATCCATGCAAGTTTGGTAATTAAAGAACTCATAGTTACTTGGAAATGAAACCTGCATCAAAAACTTTAACCTGTTCACTCAACCGGAAAATGTAGGTCAGATTCAGCATCCGAAGCAAACCCGGTAGTATGAATCCTTAGATGTATCATCCATGCAAGTTTGGTCAACATAGGACTAATAGTTACTTGGAAATGAAACCTGCACCAAAAACTTTAACCTGTTCACTTAACCGGAAAATGTAGGTCAGATTCAGCATCCGAAGCAAAACTGGTAGTATGCATCCTTAGATGTATCATCCATGCAAGTTTGGTCAACTTAAGGCTTATAGTTACTTGGAAATGAAACCTACACCAAAAACTACACCAAAAATGTTAACCTGCCCCAAAAACATTAACCTGGTCATTCCTTTGCTGAAATTTCAGCATCTGAAACTTTGACTGGTTCAATGAAACACAATAGAACCGTCTTTCATGCATGTCTAATCAATATAGGACATAGAAGTACTTAAAAAGAAAACTGCTCCAAACAACTTAACCTGGGACGCCGACACCGACGCCGACG